CCAGATATAATTAAATATACACACTATTTAAAGTTACAAATTGTAACTCTACATCGACCGAATCAAAAATAATTTTTGAGTAAACTATTTATATTAAATTTTAGGTTCTATGGCGGATCTGATGTCGCCAACGTCGATGTCAATTCATTACTGAAAATGACTGTGTCAAATATAATTCCTGTTGCACTAAAAAGGATATCTATGATTTCAAGCTTTTTCTTTAAAGTTTATACTGCCATTCCACTCTACCCCAAAGAATCAAGAATGTTCCTCGAACAAAATTTTGTCAGTCGTCATATTTACTGCGACCGTAGAGGGAGAACGACTGAGACCTATAAGTGTATGTATATGTAAGTATAACATGATCATTGACTGAGATCTTATCTTTCTAATTTGTGATCTTAGCCCAGAAAATTAACGACAATTTTAAAGTACACACATAACTTTTCTTAAATTATAATTTTTAGCTTGGATACAAGTCTTTTAAGCCAGGTTTTCATTTAGTTTTCAGGATCCTCAATAAATATTGTCTATTGTATTTTTGATGTATGTACTTGTAGAATGGCAAAAAGAACTTTAGGTGTTGTAAAAGTAGCGGGAGTCATATTTACGTTTTCACGTTCATTTAAATCACTTGTTAATAAAAGATGTTGTATTTTGAACGCGGCAACAGGTATTTCTTCTTGTATGCTTCCATACTAATTGCCTTTTATATCTTGATCTTTCTTCCAGAAACTTTTCCATAATGTTGTCAGATCTTGGTAAAAAAATTTAAATCGTCTTTTTCACTTCCAATCTTAGATCATGGAAACTTTTTCCATCCTTTAAGCTTCAAATGCTCGCCATTTTTGTTTAGAATTTTGCTTGGACGCAAGTTCTTTGAGCCATGTCTTCGTTTAATTATCGGGATCCCCAATAAATATTTTCCATTGTGGTTTTAAAATAATTATTATTTTCACTTTCACTTAAATAACTTCAATTTCTTAGGTTTTTTAAATAGTCTAAAGCGGCGGGAGTCAATATTTATATTTTCACTTTGAACAAAAACTTTGAATTCGTAATTAGTGGAATATTCCCGATAAAGTTTCTTGTAATTTGGTTTAAAATAAGGAATATAGTTTTAACTTTCTTCATCACTATTTCGTTCTTCGTATTTTCTTCATAATATTCTTAAAATAAAAACAATCTTTGTAAAAACTGTGCTTCTAACTTCAATAACCCGCCATTTTTTCCCGCCATTTTTTTGCAAAAGTACTTTACCAAGAAGGTTGTCAGAATAGACATAGGTCGTTATGGCTTTTTAAATAACGTAACGAAACCGTTTTGCGCTTTTAAATAACGTTGAGAAAACTATATGTATATTTTATAATACAACTATCATTTCAAGTATTTCATTCAACTACCTACGACGCAAGTAACGAAGCGCTGTAAAACATGAGATGCGCTACCTTTGAGTATTGCGCTGCGGTTACAATTTTATTGATATCATCATATTAGCATAATTTTTATTTTTAAAGCTGAAGTTTGTTTCTTTTTTTTTGTTTAAACGCGCTAACCCTGGTACTACCAGTCAGAATTGAAAAAATATTGATGTATTATACATATTATAATACCTACAACCACGCGCGATTACAAACAAACTAATTCATTAAAAAAACAACAAGAGATATGAGACAACTGCAGCGAACGTGTCATGGTCAAAAATTTTTTTTTATGAGAAACTATAGTTATTAATTCCATTATAACGACTTTCATTTATATTCATATCACAAAAGTCACATTATGAAATAAAAATAATAAACGCAACGCCTTTGCCAATCGTATCTTTTAAAAAGATTTTTCTTCTCCGCGTAATTGCTTTAGATAACTGATTATAATTCGTTCGCATTTCTTACCTACAAATGAAATTAACATTTGTAATAGTGAATTCAACTAGTAATTAATTTAGTAATTGTTATAAAATATTGCTTGCAAAGATAATCCAGAAACCATTGCTGGCATATTCTAAGCGCCTGCAAAGGTATTGTTAGCAATTACACGGAGAAGATAAACTGTCTTTTTAGAAGATACATTTTGCAAAGGTGTTTTGTTATTATTTTTTAAATAACTTTTTATAGAAGCTTCCTAAAATAGCAAAAAAGTATGTTTAGTTAGAAATTAGGTAGTAAATAGTTATTTAAAAAAAGTAAATAACATACTGCTAGAATCATGAAAAACGTAAAGTGGTCCAGCCAACCTGACGTCATCAATCATCTTCAATGGCTGGCTACTTTATTTCTTTAATATTTCCGTTAGCGCAAAGGTAGAAAATACGTCAATAAAGGTACAAAACAGTAGAAAATAAGTAGTTTGATTTCTATATATCTCGTTTGGTCCAGCCATCCCGACCTTAGGGTCGTATTCCAGAACTCTACTCAATACTCAAGTCAGGACATGAGTATTGCAGTGAGCGCTGAAAATCATACTCAAGTCCTTGCCATTAGGGTCGTATTTCCAGTGCTTCAAATCATACTCAAGTCTGCTCAAATCCTGACTTGAGCGTTGACGCGTTCTAGAATACGACTATTCCTCTGAGAATCCGAGGTTCTGACGGACACGCTACAATTTCAGCTGTCAGTTGAGTTGTCAATGTCAGCTGTGTTTTTTTTTTTTATTGTGACTCGGTAAAATGACTGCACCGCGCCTGATGGAAAGTGCGAATCACAGAACACTATACTGTGCGTAGTATCTCTTATTAGTTTGTGACCGTAGTTCACTAAGTAGTCTGTGTTTGTGACTGTGCGAATACAGTCCAGAGATGAGAGTAACGGATGGAAAACACAAATATCTTCACTCCGTCACTATCATTTTGCCGGTTTTATGCTCCTTGTGAGTGGTTATAAGTTTGGCAACAACAACAACTCTATAATAAATAACATAAATAGAATTTTGCTCCAGTAGTGCGCGTAGTGCTTAAATTCTCTTTGTTTTGCTCTACTGTTGTTTTGGTTTGAGCGTATGTTATCTGTTACGTTTATATTTGTTTTTATACAAATTTATCAATGGTTGACCATATACATTTTGTAATTCAAGACTTCAAGTAAGTTTTTCGAAATAATGGAACGGCCAAGAACAGTTTTGTTTTTTGAAAAATGTAGATTATGTTTAGATAAACCTGGTTCAGCTAATATTTTCGAAGTGCAAGACCTACCACAGGATATCTACGCCTGTACACGTGTCAAGGTAAATTGGTTTCTATTCAAAATACGGTAAAAGTATCTCATTATAAATTCATTTTAAACCGTCGCTTTTGATTATGAAACTCTTCAGGTGTCACTTATGGACAATTTGCCACAGAAAATATGTATCCAATGCTATGAAATAGTGAAACAAGCGAAGAGTTTGAGATTGTTAGCTACAGCGAACGATGCCGCCCTCAGAAATCTTCTTCTCGACGACTATGAGAATATTACGGAAAAAACCTCTCCGAACACAACATTAAACGCTACAGATTTTCTTGAAATTATTGTAGAAAATTCAAGCAATAAAAATACGAATGACCAAAGTAAAAAAGGAAATGAAAAGGACCCACAAAACATTGACCAGAACATTCTCATCAGTCATAAAAATATTGATAAGCAAAATCATAAACAAAAAATCAATACAAACAAGAAATCTAATAATGATGTAACGAATGATGAAAATGTAAGTACAAGATGAGTTATTAAATTTTATTTTTATTTACTAAGCCTTTTAAGCTGAGTTACACATACTTTTTACATTACAATTTTACGTTGCATTTAAAATTTTTACATTATATTTCTTAACTCAGCGTGCCTCTTTGCACAGGCCTCCAGATCTTTATAGTGCGCTCTATCAAGATCTACTTTTCTCCGACATGGGCCTGCAGTTAGCTTTTTTTAAATTCTAATGTAAGTGTGCATTAGCTTCAACTCGTCCTCCCATCTTTATGCCCTCTGTTATGTTTGAATTTTATTATCAATTACTAAATTAGCACAGTTGGTGATTATTGTAAAATGTTAATACTAAAGAATGAATGAATTAATAATATTTATTTGAAAAGGTGGTATAATACAAACATAGTAAAACAGTCCTCATAATGCTATGAGACCATACGGTCTGCCTGTACAAATTAAGCCGGCATAAGTTGTATGCTTGCATCGGACGTTTAGTCCAAAGAAGATATAACCACTACATACTGTTTATTCAGGACTGCCCTCGTTATCCTCTGTCAAAAGAAAGTCAGTTGTCATTTTTGTTCAAAAGAAAGTCAGTCTAATTTTGGATTTTTGTCAGTCTAGTGTGTCTGCCTTTGTGGTCTGTCAGTCCGCTGGTCATCCACGGAGGCTGGATGTGATACCTCATATTTTCCCGATACTGACCTCAAGACCCCAAAATAAAAAAACTGACCTCAAAAGTTGATGGAATTACATCTATTTGCCAAGTTTTATTGAAATTGGTTACCGGAAAGTGTGCGAAAGCGGATTTATCCCCTAGTTTGCCACTCTTAGAGGTGGAATATTTTCTTCAAATTTAAACAGGATCAATACTGAGGTACCCTCTTACCAAAAAAGAATCGTCAAAATCATTTCATAAATGCTGGAGTAATTGTGTAAATTACATACAAAAAATACAACCGAATTGAGAACCTCCTCCTTTTTTTGAAGCCGGTTAAAATTAATTGGAACCAGAATATGTCACCGCTAGGAATGACGTGGCATGTGCCAACAACCAAATCAATTACTCAAAGATTTTTCTTCTTTATTTATAATGTTTGTTACTGCATGTTTCAAAAAATATTTTGATGTTGATTAGTTTGTAATTTTCAAACAATAAAATAATGAATAATGACAAATATTTAGTAATTCAAAATATATTTTATATAATATAAATTAAAGAGACAAAACCATGAATCAGCAAGGATAATTAATCTGTTATGTAACAGATCATTATCAAAGAAAATAAAAATCTTGGTAATTTTGAATCCTGTCGCTATGTCAATTATGTAACAAACTCGAAAATATGCTACATTTGATGGAATGTGGCCATTGTATGGCTATAAAAAGCTAATTTCAATTAGGAAACATATGGCAGGTTGGGGAGTTAAATGTTGCAAAGTAACTTGTTGACAAAGAGGGCTCAAACTGTACTCATGTGTGAGGTCTGGCCTCTCACTACGAGGCGACACTTCCAGATGGAGTAGAATCTACAGGAGTTGCAACGCCGACATTGATACCCAACATTACATTTTGATTTTAATCAAGATTTTAAAAAAACATTCTGCAGATTTTTAAATGTATAATAGACACATGCTTGGCCACAATCTCACCTGATGTTAAGCGACGATGGGGACGCGTTTGCCTAAAATATATAGTATTAGTATTCACTCTAGCCTTGAATAGCCCCAAATTGTACTTTTCGGGAAACACACGCAATAGATACAGTAGAGAATTCCATTCCTTTGCCGTATGCATCAAGGAGTGCAAATAGGTGGTATATCAACGACATAAGGATGGAGTGTTCCAGAGCTAGTGGACCAAAGCACGGTGAAAGTGGAACTAAATTGAAAAGTTCCTGCACACACTCCCCGAAATGTATCCGATGGAAAACCGACAAGCAGGCTACTTTTCTGCGATAGTCGAGATTTTGTAGCTTCGACTCCACAAGATAAAATAAGTCTCTTTTCTTTTCGATCAACTGAGTCCAAGGTAAGCTGCTGCAAGGTAAGCTGAGTCCAGTGAGTGAAAAAAATCGCGGGTACTTCGAAAGAATAAGACCTCTTAGAAATTGCTCTGTATATTTTAATTTATTTAAATAGTTTAAGTCTACTTACAGTTCTAATTGTATATAAATGTGTTAGTATATATGCCAGTGAGTGTTGGCTATAACAAATTTTCAACTGCACTTTTCTCCATATCACCACAATCACAACCTTAGAACTACCACTTTGCATCACATCATCTGGGTCCTGGAAAACTTGTTTATCGGCCATGGATGCTGTTGAAGTCAATGATACACTTCAGGACCTCACTTCCTTCTTTCACTCTCGCATGGAGGACTTCGAAAAGGCCCTTCAACAGCACACTATCTCATCAGTTCCTGCTGCCCAGTTACAAACAGTTAAGGCTTTATCTGCAGACTACCAGCAGTTCAAAACTTTTATTGTGAATGCAGTCAAGACTTTGAAAATGCAGCTGGATTGTCTCCACACAGGAATGGATCGCCTGGAAACCCATTCTAGGCGTAAAGTTTTGTTGTTTCATGGCTTGCAAGAGGACAACAAGGAGAATGTTACTGCTAGGGTGCTTGAGGTGCTGAGCGGTAGAATGAAGCTGAAGCAAATTGAAACGGACTGCATAGAGACCTGTCACCGACTAGGGACTGCTAAAAAAGAGCGTACTCGCCCTGTGCTAGTCCGTTTTGCGACGTATAAAAGTAGATCCGTCGTATGGAAGGCCAAGACGGCGTTAAAGGGCACGAGAATTTCCATGTCGGAGTTCCTGACAAAGTCTAGGCAGAACATATTTGCTATAGCCCGTAAGCATTTCGGCATTAAAAACTGTTGGTCATCTGATGGTACCATAGTTGTGATATTGCCGGACAAGACCAGAAGAAAAATTACTGAGTTTGGTGAATTGCAAAAGCTCCAGGCCAGTTTTCCATCCACGGCAGGCAGCTAATTTATCGACCATCGTGATTATTGTGAGGTACCTCCACTTTAAACAATTTTCCATTACAAAATTTTAAGGTATTTCATTATTAAGTCAAAATTAAAATTGTATTTTTCATTTGCTCGTTTAATGTTAGCTGTCAATATGACTTTTCGTTCAAAAATTTTTTTAACGTTAGGTATTTATTTAAGCCTTTTTTTTGTTTCTTCTTTTTGTTTTCGTAACTTTGGATTTGAGTCTTTCAGTCTAAATATCAATGTGAATGAAGTTTTTTATGTACCTATACCAATCATAATTTTTTTTTTTTTTTGTAGACTGTCCTGTACTTAAAATTTCAACATGCAAATTTTTTTTTTTTTTTTTTGTAACTATGGACTCAAGTCATTCAGTCGAAATATTAAGGATATTTATTCCTTAATTGTCACTTCATGGCTTTGTTGATTTTGTATTCAATGTAATATCATTGTTTTGTACATTTTTATATTGCTTTTACTATTATTGTGTTGCCAACACTCGCTGGTGGTTTCGTTTTTGTTTTTTTGTCTTTAGTTTTGCTTATTTATTTTATTTGTAGGAAGTATTTTAGTCTATACTCATATTGTTTTATTATTTATAAATTACATATTTATTCATTTATATTTATGTCTGTAAACTCTAATTATTTTACTGATAGCTCATCTGATGAGTTTGAAAGTGCTTGTAGTGATATTTCTATTTCTTCTGACTCTGATGGCCCTTCACTAGATGTTAAGCTGCAGTCAATTTTTTATGGAAAATCCAATTTCCTTAACCTGGTGCACATTAACGCGCAGAGTGTTCCTGCACACATTACTGAATTAAATATGTCATTCAACAACGGCATAGTTGATGGAATCTTAATCTCAGAATCTTGGCTCAAACCCTCTCTACCATCCCCCCTTTTTACACTTAATGGGTATAAATTATATCGAAACGATAGAGTTGGAACTGGTGGTGGAGGTGTATGTATTTACATCAAGAGCCACATACCGTGCTCCGTCGTCAGCCAGTCTCCTAGCACTTATACTGGATCTTTAGAGTATCTATTTCTAGATCTCAACTTACATCACACCAATATCTTAGTTGGTGTTACTTATAGCCCTAGTGTTAATGTAAATTATTTTGACTTATTTGAGACTACCCTTGAATCCTTGAGTGCCTCTTACGAACATGTAATATTGATGGGTGATCTTAATACTTGTTTATTAAAGAATAACTTTCGGTCTTCACGTCTTAACTCCATGGTATCTGCTGTGAACTTTGTATTGCTCCCACTTACTGCCACCCATCATTCTCCTAACTGTCAACCTTCACTTTTAGATGTTCAGATAGTCTCTAAACCTCAATCGGTTCTCCTGCATGGACAAACCACTGCCCCGTTCTCATACCATGACCTCATATATTTGTCTTATCGAGTACGCACTCCCAAACCCAAAATTAAAGTCATTTTTCAGCGTAGCTTTGGTAACATTTCTGTGGATCGCTTGAGAGAGGAATTTTCTAATATTGATTGGTCTGCTTTGATTGAAGCTAGCACAGTAAATGAGAAGATCAAAATTTTTAACAAACACTTAATAAAGTTGTATGATTCTCATGCCCCACTCAGACCAGTACGTGTTAAGCATCTGCCTGCGCCTTGGCTTACACCAGCAATAAAGAAAACCATGAAACGTAGGGACAAGGCCAAGTCGATTCTCAAGAGGTTTCCAAGTGAAGACAATTTGTTTTCTTATAAAAGGCTGCGCAATCTCTGCAATAGACTGTGTCGTGACGCAAAGCGGCGTTACTTCCACTCGTCGATGGAAGGCTTGTCTATGGGTCAAACTTGGAGGTTCCTGAGGTCACTTGGTGTGGGTAAAGATCGTGACTGTACTGTTGACTTGCCTGACCTTAACTCACTCAACAAATACTTCACCAACTCACCATTTACTGTTGCTGACTCTATCAAAGCGGACACGCTCACCTCACTGGGCACTGCTACTCATCCTGATTGTGTACCTTTTTCTTTTCGCGAAATCACTGAGGGGGAAGTTAAGAAGAGTATCCTATCCATAACTTCCAAGGCTGTGGGTGAAGATGGTATTTGCCGCGACATGCTGATACCTATCCTGGATGACGTTGCTTCAATTATCACACACATTTTGAATACTTCTCTTGCAACTAGCGTCTTTCCTAGCGATTGGAAATTAGCTCATGTCATTCCCATCCCTAAATCCGCTACTCCCACGGCTTTCTCCCAATTTCGTCCTATCTCCATCCTACCATTCCTGTCCAAGGTCCTTGAAAGCACAGTTCATAAACAACTTCACTCATATGTCTCTCGTCATGAACTTATAAGTCCGTATCAATCTGGTTTTCGTCCTGGTCACAGTACTGTAACTGCTTTGCTTAACGTCACCGATGATATTCGCCACGCCATGGACAACAGGTTGTTTACCATTATTGTTTTGCTGGACTTCAGCTGTGCTTTCAACTCTGTCGACTATGACATCCTCCTTGCCATTCTCTGCTCTCTTAACATCTCCCCTGCTGCAATTGCTTGGTTTTCGGATTACCTCCGCAATCGCTATCAAAGGATCAGGAATGATGACATTTATTCTGATTGGTCTCCTTTGACTTCAGGGGTGCCACAGGGTGGTGTACTTTCACCTCTTCTCTTCTCGCTGTTCATAAACGAGCTCACTAAATTAATTTCTCCTCCATTCCACTTATACGCAGATGACCTGCAAATTTATAGACATTTTGATGGAGCCAATACCCAATCTGCCATTGAATCTATTAATAAGGATCTTCTTGTGGTGAAGTCTTGGGCTGATGCGTTTGGTTTGCTTGTAAACCCTAGGAAATCACAGGCAATAATTGTAGGTAGCAACAGACTTTACTGCAGGTTGGACATTAATAATCTCCCCAAGGTCTCGTATGATGGAGTGAGTCTTACATATGCTGAAAATACAAAGAACCTGGGTCTGATAATCGACCGTACACTGTCCTGGAGACCACAGGTAAATGAGGTTAGTCGACGCATGCACTTTTCCTATCATTCTCTCAAGCGGCTTCAATTCTTCTTACCGTTCAACACCAAGGTTATGCTTGCTCAGTCCCTACTACTCCCTCTTCTCGACTATGCCGATGTTTGTTATTTGGATGTTACTGAGGAGCTGCTTAACAAACTAGAGCGCCTACAAAATCTGGCAATCCGTTTCATATTCGGTTTACGTAAATATGACCATATCTCTGAATTTCGGACTAAATTGAAATGGCTCCCAATCCGACTTCGCCGAGATATGCACGTTCTTTGTCTTCTTTATAAAATTATAAATTACCCCCAGCTTCCTCATTATCTGTGTTCCCGTTTTTCCCCCTTATCCCCCAATTCCCGCCCAAAACGTACCTGTGACACTAGAACACTTTTATATCCCCAATCCAACTCCAAATTCTTTCACAATTCTTTTACCGTAAGTGCAGCTCGTATGTGGAATAAACTACCTGCTAACATTCGTGATAGTCCATCGGTGGCATCTTTCAAACACAAATTAAAAGAGCACTTCCTGTCGAACGCGTTAGATAGTTTATAGGTAACATATTTGTAAACAAATGATCTGTTATTATAATATATATTCTGCTTATGTATGTATTTATGTATATAAAGTTCGTGTATGTGCATATGTATGTATATTATTATCATTTATATTTTATTCACATTTAAATTTAAATTTTGTTGTACATTAATTAGTCCCGCAGACTTCATTTTTGCACCACGGCTAGGGTTGGCTGGAAGAGATCTCTTATAGAGATAAGCTCACCTTTGTATATGTCCATTGTAACGTGTGTTTCATGTGTCTTTTCTTTGTACAATAAAGAATATTATATTATTATAAGCTAACTGGTAATGGGCAGCGACGTCTCAAAGGTGGCACCAGTACTCCATACATAATCGAACCTGTGCTTTATACAGATTTTTGAAAGTTGTTCCCTTGTAAAGTATGCCTAGTTTTTTGGCAGCAGTTTATGCCAAGCACTCGATGTATCGCCCAAAGTTGAGGTTGGATGATAAGTAGCTAAGGAACCAAGTAGCTCAAGGTGGTCACTTATCGGCACGGATACATTTCGGAAAGTCGGAGTAAGGTGTAGGGGACTCCGGCTTGAGGAGAAAAGACACGCCTGTATTTTAGCCGCATTATACCTGACCCTGTTCGCGTCTCCCCAGTCGGAAGCCGCTTTTAGGCTCAGGTTCAACCGGGTGAAAATGCATCGCCTCTCGTTTACACTGGATCTTTTCGGTGTTGTCTCGGGCGTCTCATGCTTACGCTGCTGCCCTATTGGGTCAACTGAACATAGCCTGTTTATAAATGGAGCTATCCTAATGTGTGTTATAAAATTATATTGGTGATTGTGTATAAGTTCATTGTATATTAACCTATTAAAATTTTTCATTTCAGTGTAAACCAACCCAGCCAAGTCAACATTTAGGACTAAAAGTGAGAAAAGATCTATTTGAACCTTCGCCTAGTCAAGTGGTGGGTACTTAATATATAATGATGTTTTATGTTAGTCGAGAAAGAGATTTTTAGTTGGGTACAGGGGTAGTTGTAAAATACTAACAACCTTTCAGGACTATTATTATTATTATTAAGGTGGCTTCAGTCGGGGTCTAAGCGGGCCCTCGTCACTGCGACCACTGCGACCAAGTTTAACGAGATTGGCATCATGATTGTGGCATCATAGTACATTTACTCAAATATTTTGTATGCCCGTAAAAATATACATAATTTCGTTAAGAAAGAAGATATCCATAATATTAACCTTAGAACTAAGTCCAAACTCATGGTACCACGATTTCGTTTAACTAAGGTAAATGATTATTTTATGGGGAACTGTATACGTTTTTAAAATAAGATTCCGGAGCATATATTAAGATTACCATTTCCTAAGTTTAAAACTTACATTAAGAGTATTTTAATTGAAAAGTCGTATTACAGAAATGTAGACTATGTATTAGATAAAGATGTATGGAAAGACAACGTGAGTCTAGATTCCACACAAATGTGATTCAAAATGTATTCTATAGCATTAAAGCTTATTTGAAAAGAGCAATCCCTAAAGTTTCTTGCCCGTTTTTCTCAGGGAGGTCAGCGTAGTGAACGTGCAGTAGCTTAAAAAACGTTTTCAAGTGTAAAAAATTTACCATGGAATAAATTATTATTTGACTTTGACCACTAATTACAGTTCGGAGCCAAGGCCAACAGCATTAAAGAACTGAAGGACTTTCCTGGCTCCGACAGTTTTTATGTCCTCTGGGACAGCACTGGGCGAGGAGATGAACAGGAGTTTCATCCGCATCGTGGCAGAATCTAAATTCTCTGTTATCTCTCTGACCAATGTTTGACATGTGCTTGTTTAAGCCAAAATGCTCTGTTAAGGCTCTAGACAGCTTCTGATGCCATTCCTGTCAAGTGACAGAGCTTTCCTACAGTGTCTGGAACTGTGGCAGCTATCAGGGCTACCTCACAGGACTATTATTATAAACATTATAAACAACTTTTGTTCCATGACTTTACAAAACAATAGATTTACTATAAATATACTTTTAAGTTTTTGTTGTATTGACAAAAGTCATTTGACATTTTTTTACTGTATTTGGCAGTAAGTTAAAACGTGCAAGCGTCCTTCTCGACCGACCCCTACTTTCTCTTGTGAAATTGATATTTTTGTAACTGCTTCTGTGGCCGAAGGTTACCATGCCAGGTTCGATTCCCAGGACGGGAAATATTTGTATGGCCTACATTAATTAATTATCTCGTGAGTTTCGGTGTAATTTGTGATTGTCTTTGTGTGTGTCCATGGCACCCGCGACACATTGTTTTCCTAGTGCGGGGTTATGTTGAGTATGTGTGTTATTATTTTGCACGAAAGTGAAATTAGAGAATTATTGAAAGTATAGGAACAAAAATTATTGTTTAAGATGTTAGTAATATAGTCTTGCGAGGTTGTTAGTGTTTTACAAATAACCCTGTGATATACAAATGCTATAAATACAATTTCAGAGTTCATCACTGAAACCGGATACGGTTAGAAAAGAAACGGAAACAGCAGTACCTAAAAAGAGGATCAGTAATGAACAAGGTGAAGAAATTTTCATTTGTGAGGTAAGTACAAATGTTAAAATTATGGTGATTATTACTGATAAAGGGATATTCAAGATGTTTTGTCGGATCTAAAGCGTAGCCACACCGCGAACGAAGTTAAAGTCGACGAAGACGGAGTAAAATTACAGTTTATTGCGCAAAAGTGTTGCCGCTTGTGAGCAGTAGATAAATATTCTATCAACTATCCACTGAATATTGGTCACGCTCATGGAATAAATAGGCGAACTTGTTTCATTTCAATTATCCTTGACCCATTAATCATCCAATTGCTGAGCAAAAAAGAAGGCATAAACGCAATTAGTAATCATTAGAACGTCGTAACATTCACAATTCAGTCACTCTTGGCAAAATTTTATCTTCTTTTACAATCTATCGATAAACCTACATAACTATTTAAAATTTTATGCAACCCTACAAATGTCATTTTACTCCGTCTTCAAAAAAGACAGACTATAAGCTAACGTAGCTTACTCACGTAGCCGGGGCGTCTATTCATACTTCGGTTCACACCGCGAAGTAAGCTAACTAAACTTTTTTTTATAACATCAATTGACGGGACGAACAAGTAGTGCGCCTGAAGTTAAGCTACACGCCTGTATATAAGAGTTACAGTGCCACTCAGACTTTAAATTGCAAAGGTCAGCAGCTTGATTTTAATTGCCTCTCCCGATTGGAAACTGCGTCTTTTCCGAATCGAGGCGCATAATTGCGATTCACAACTGGCCGATCGGAAACTCTTGACATTTCAAATCTGAACAATAGTTGATTAAACTAACAAATTACAAAGATAATAGCCTACTATATCTTTTCGAGAAGATGAACCTGATTCCTAAATCAGGTTCATTTTCTCGGTCAGAAACCCATCTCATTTCGAGACTACCCGATCTAATCGATTCCTATTTGAATAAAAATCAGGACGCTGAGGGGTACTACCACTGCTACCGTCACCCTGAGACATAAGTTGACAAGTCTCATGTGCCTGTAATTTCACCAGCACCCTTACCTTTCAAAACCGGAACACAGCAATGCTGACATTACTGCTTGGCGACAGAAATAGGTAAGGAGCTTTTCTGCTACTTGCCCAACGATTCCGCTAAGCTGTTTAAAATATGTCGCACATCTGCCCCTTCACTCCCGCCCGTATTCATAGAGTTGTAAGAGTTTCTCGCGCGCGTATTTTCGTAGCTTTAGCGTTAGCTTAGCTTCGTTCGCGGTGTGGCCTACGTTTGAATCGCGTAAATTTACTTTCCTGTGGTTACGGCCGTCTGTCTATAAAAAATATGCAATATATGCGATCTGGATCCGAATTAATAGTTTCATTTCCAAAGTGTAGCAATCCCGCAAAATTTGCTACTCGAAAACAGTAGATAGTCAAATAAGGTAAATCGATAAAATACACAGTAAACGCAATGTAAGAGATTTTCCATTTGCCAATACCTACTACTAAGATGGTAAATGAATTTATAAGGCTACCATCATTGACTTACAATTATATGGACGTCGGGTCCGCGCTAAAAAGTGTCCGCACTTTTAAGGCGCTAAAATCGTATACAGAGCGCGACACTCCGCTTTAGTCTTCATTTGTTCTACTGACAGCGCGATACTGCGATGACATTACAATTTAAATTTCGAATAGGTTGACTTGGGACATCTTTTTTGTGGTTTTTGTATTAGACCCGACGTCCATTTGTTGGTAGGTCAATGGCTACCATAATTATACAGATCTCTGTCTGACGTTAGTAGTTTAAAGCTCCTTTTGGCGCTTTTAAAAGCGCTGCAGTACCATACAATAGATATTGTCTGGGGGTCTAGTCTCGTTCTCCGTCCGGATATCCGTCCGAAACAATTACTGTTAAATTGTACTGTTAATAAGTGATACTCGATCTAATAAAAGACACATGATGCGAATAAAGCTTCATACTTGACATTATCTTTTGATTTTCTTTTTTATTTTATTACTTTATTTATTTGTGTTCAGGTTACAAAGACCCATAAATACATACATACCTTATAAACTAACATATGTACAATATAATAAAACAGTATTTCTAGCAGCGCTTCTATTAGCGTCTAATTTGAAGGCGCCTTAAAGGTTGTGTATGATCGTCAATGGTCAGAAAAAGATATTCCAAATATAATAATAATAAGGACGAAGTAGGATCTTATTACACACCCACCACATACTCGTAGATACTGCATTTACTTGAATTAGGTCCGTAAATGTGATTCGAACCAGTTAACAAGCTGAAAATACTTGTGACGGTGTGACCTCCTTACACCGTCATCTCACCTCTTTGTATCGCCTCTCTCCGCTGGTGTCCTATATTTTTTTTTTATTTTACATGTATTTAAATTTTAAATTTGAATTGTTCCATCTTCCTTCACTTTCTCATTTTGTTTTCGTACCACGGTCACTCCCAGCTCGACCGCCACAACAGTCGGAGCTGTTTCAAATTCCATCGCAAATAATCGCTAATTTTGGTTCTTTACTACGTTTATAATCATTAAATAAGCTAAATCATGTGTAATAATTTATAAGTCTACAGCCTTCGTGTACCTATATCTGTAATTCATATATATTACTCTTCCCATTTAGGGGTAAGTGCCTTAATAATAAAGTGTAGGGAGTGTTTTATACTGTTCTACCTGTTTTTTTACATTTACCTTTTTTTTGTTACAGCCCTTTCTTTAAACTTTACTTATTTAATAAACTTTGTGGACCGGAAGTTTTCCGTTTCATTGCCGTGAACCTGTTCACGGCTAGTTAGGGTTACAACCCTTTCAGACTAAAGTAAATAATAATAATTAACTGCCTCAGTGGCCGAACGGTTACCATGCCGGACTGCCACGCAGAGGTCCCAGGTTCGATTCCCGGGCCGGGAGAAATGTTTGTATGGCCTACAATTATTTCTCTCGTGAGTTTGGGTGTAATTTGTGGTTGTCTATATGTGTGTCCATGGCACCCGCGACACAGGGTTTACCTAGTGCGGGGCTATGTTGAGTGTGCGCGTTATTTAATAATAAAGAGCTTTATTTATCTACATTTTCATAACAATTTAGTCTTAAATAACATCATCTATAGTTACATAATATTGTGTAGATAAAAAGGAATGAGTCTCAGCTTAAGCTGTTTTTCAGACCCTACCTTTGTGAAGAAACTCGCTATATTCCAATGTCAGTAGTTGTATGGCTCGTCTCGAGTAACTCCAAAAAAGTTATCTCTTAACTATAAATATACACATATATCGCTTAAAGTTATAATCCTATTGTCACAGTAGTACCAGAGCTAAATAAAACATTCCATTTCAATACTCCAATTTGAAGTTTAGGCAGGGATAAATAGTACCTAAAAATAAAAATATAAGAATGTAAGCTACATCTAATTACTTGCCAATTTTTACCTCGAAAGTAGCCAAAGCTTGCATTTTCTTTTGAAAGAAATATATAGATACATGTATAGATATAGCTACATGAAGCGACATAGAGTTGTTAAAACCACCAACTATTTATTAATTACTGTTTCATATCCCGGATTTGCGGAAAATGGTTTAGTGCATCGTAGGACAAAACTACTGACCTGGGAAGTCAAGGTCGGATTTTAAAATAATTTTAATTGTGTCGTGTAAAAAATGCAGTAGATTTACCAAAACAGAGAATAAAAAAGTAACGAGAATGGTGACTCTCCGCCCCCGAGCTTTAGATACCGCATATTGACGGTCACATTGGCGGAACGGCGACATTTGCTAGTAGAACTTAGAAAAAAAATTAAATTTACATTTATTAACATTTTATATTGCATGAGAATCGTGGTCGCGTTCTAAAATATATTATAAATTAAAAATACAGTATAATACATGTTCATAAATTCGTACCACTAGCAGAAATGTCGTATTTTAAAAGGAAAATGTTCACACTGGATTATTTTAATACTTCTTTTTATACAAAACGACGATTCTAGAGATGTCTTAGTGCAAAGTTTGAACTGCGACGTAAGCTGCCGAATTACAGTGATCGCTTGTGCAAATTTGGCATGATCAGTCTTGAGGATCGTAGGCAAGTGTCAGACTTATGTACTTTGCACAAAATTGTTAATTCTGCCATGGATTCTCAGCTGATCGAACACCTGTGTTTTAGGGTACCTACTCGTTCTATGCGTACTCCGCAGTTGTTTAGTGTACCTCTTACAAAAAACAATGTTTCACAGAATGGACCATTGTGCAGAATGTGTCGATCATATAATAGATCTTTTTCCGACCATTTATGATCATTCATCTTAGATTAGTCTATAAAGAAAAACATGCATCTGTCCAAGGTATTAGGATTTAAGTTTTTGTTTGTTTGCTTGTCCTATGTACTTAAAGAATAATTCATAAAATTATAATTAAAGGATATAGAGTGAGTAGTAAATATTTCTCCATTTGACAGGTGTGTAAAAAAACATTACAAACGCGCAAGAAATTGTACATGCACCAACGACAACACAACAAGTCTTTTATATGCCCTCTGGACGTTTGCGGGAAAAAGTTTGCTATCAAGAACGATCTGGAAAGGCATAAAAGGACTCATACTGGAGAAAAACCATATAATTGTGATGTGAGTTGCATACTATAGTATTCAAGTTAAACAAAGCGACACGCGTATCGTGTGGATAACAGTCAGCAAGACGGAGTTTTTTGTAGAAAAGTATTATACTATGCCAGGATCGTCATAAACATGCATCGAGTACATAACCAGAAATAGAGACGAAATGTCATTTCATTTGTTTTGAAAACTATTCTGCTAAATCTTTACGGTGACAACTGCGCTCCGATTGACCAGTGTCGTCAATTGTTTCACTTGAAATCGACCAGTTTAACTTGAGCTTTGCTATAATGGACGATAATGGAAAAAATACATCTTTAATTACCAATGAAATGTGATTCCGTTTGTTTTGTAATTAAATGTTTTGCTGTTTTTCCCACACCACCGAATGGAACAGCCACCCATTGTTAGAGATATTATATTTATTACAATAAATACAGAATATTTTTGGAATATACAGAGACGTACATACGGATCGGTTGTTGGCTCTGTACTATTTCAGCTTTCTAATTTGTGATTTCAGCGCAAACGAGAGTTGGTATTTAAAAGTGATATAAGGTCCATATGCCTGATGAGTTTCCACTAGTTGCCAGGGATATATGGCCCTTATTTCGTCTCTATTTCTGGTTATATTATTATACGCAATGTAAACATGTATCCAACTTGGCAGAATGTAATATACATTCAAGGGCAACAAAATGTGTACTCATACATAAACATTATGTGTTATGCAAATGTTAACGTTAATGTATATATAATTCATTGATTGTGTATAAAAGAGTTAACATTGTTTATGGTTACTTTTCAACAGAAAACATTCAAATAAAGCGTTTTCTGTGTTAGTTATGAATAAAATATGTTTTTAGTGTTCTGAAGAAATTTTTCTTTGTATGTTTCTTCAAATATTTTTTCATTTTTATAAGCATTTATTCAAATGCTTATACACGAGTGTATCGTTGCCTTTATACTAATTAGACAAAAACAGCGATGCACTGTATTTTGTGATATAGATTCTGAACCAAGCATACAGCGACGAGCACAGCATGTGAAACTTTTTGAATAAAGTACGTGTGCACGTGCACGCAAGTCAATAGACCAACAACTCAAGAAGACTGTTAATCGCGATACAAGACAGCGTAGTCGGGTATTTAGTACCTTTTGGTACACCAGATGTCGCGACGAGTACCACTTAGCTATTTTTGAAACTAATTTGTTTCACACTGACAAGCTGCAATTTATCAAAACTACTCTAATTTCTAGCAATAACAAACAAACTAACTAGATGACGCTTACTGCACAGGTTTTTATAGATGGTACCGGCTTTTTTTAATTTTATTTAGGAGTAGCGCCATCTACCCATATTAGGAAGCGTTAATTTATAAATTCGTTTGTAACACACAACGCCATCTATTGACACGCATATTTGTCAAAGTTCAGAAGGAAAAAACTGACTTCTATTTTATATTAAAGAGGAATTAATTCATATCCTCGGCCATTTACATAATATGAACTAGGTACTTTCTAGGAATTTTCGCCTTTACAAAGCTACCATCTGTAATATGGAGATTAGCAGTCGTCTTAAGTCATAGATCCACGGCATTTTGCAATACTGCGTTATTGTATAAATGCAGTAATATGTTGCGAAATACTTAAATATGTATTCACACAGTTAACAAAATGATATGTCTTTTACTTGTAAAGCGCCCGACACGTTGGTTTGTTTGAAAAAACAAATATACGCAATTTAGGGCGCCTTCAAGTTACACGCTTATATTCTGTGGTTCTAATGAAAAGGGGTACAAGTCAAAAAAGCCAACACACAAAAAAAACACCTATCATATCTGTTTTTCGCGTCTCCTTGTAAAGTTGTTTTTTCTCTTTTTACTAGAGTCACAGATTGTAGAAACGGTGCAGTGGAGCCACTACTAATTTTCATACAATATTTAGAAAGCGTAGTTACAACGCTGCAACGGCACAGTTGTTGCACGCACGCGCTGCTTGCAGTCACAATTAGCGCATTAAAAATTACTGACGTGCTACAGACAAGCGTCTAATTTGAAGGCGCCCTTAGATCCGGAAAGAACATTTTTTTTGAAGGGACGAAAAGTCGTGCGCCTGATGGTAAGCTACACGCCTGTCCATAACAGTTGTAGTGCCACTCAGAGCTTTAAATCGCAAATATCTGAGGCGCACTGCCACTCACCCGGGTGCGCCCGTCACCCTGAGACATAAGTTGACAAGTCCCATGTGCCTGTAACTTCACCAGCACCAGCACCCTTCAAAACCGGAACACAATAATGCTGACGTTACTGTTTGGTGGCAGAAATAGGTAAGGTGACAGTATTTCCCTGGACGAACTCTTTCACGAAGAGTTATACTGCTATTAAAATTTCATTTTCTATGGTAAAGATATTCTTTATTTACATGTTAATAAATTAATTATTTAACATGTTTATTAACATAGTTATTGTCATGAGTTGTATTTCTTTTTCAGATATGCGAGAAAAGTTTTGCGCAGCAAGGTACACTGAAGGCTCACAAAGAGGCAGTTCATTGTGCTACAAGCAGTGCCTGAAGCTAATTGAATGCAGAGACAGATTCTACCATAAAGCATCACATAAGACGCGTCTACACGTCCTAAATCAATGTCTTTATGGACTATATCAATACATTTGTATACTCAATCAACGAATCTTGATTATTAAGTATTGAATTATGGCAATATTTCTGTGGCTGTAGTGAAAAGGGGTACAAGTAAAAAAAGCCAACTTTACACGGAAACGCGATAAAAGCTTAACGCTTAATGTCATATTAAACTTTAACCTTTCGCGTCTCCTTGTAAAGTACGCTGTTTTGACTTGTACCCCTTTTCTACAGAGCCACAACTTTTTTTGTTTGATAAACGAATCTGCTACACGTACTACACTAAGTATGTACGGTATATAAATGATTGTATGATTACTGTTTAAAAATGTTTATTAGTTTTGATTTGCAACTAATAATGATACATTTGAAAGGTGTGAAATGAGTACACTGCGCGATGGCTGATTGTGTTCTACATATAAATTATAACTAAATGTCGCATGAATACATAAAATGTTGCATAAACACAATATACGCTATTGCACCGTATAAAGTATTTGCGTTGGAAGCAGAGATGGGCCCGTTACCGCCTAAACATCGAGGGCAAAAACTTAACTAAATATTTGTTGTGAATCGAGTTTTGTTCAAATTTAATGGTATTATTACAAAATACTTATTGCTTTCTGATCTAGACGATTCGACTTGCCTCGGTTCGCTTGAAAATCTCATTGAAATAATTGGATACAAAAAATCGACCTACGTATGCACTTGAATCGATTTTCGTAAAAACCGAATCGTTTGTAATAAGTGTGGAATAGGCAAAATAGGCGCTTTGTCGTCGAGTTGCGGATACCAGCCCGTTGCACCAAGTACCAAGTAAGTGTGGAATATTCCGTATTCCACTCTCTCGATTGTGTCCACGGTTTGGGCGGAAATGGATTAAAACCTACCGCTTTGGGTTAAAACCTGGGCGGGTGGTTAAATACTTAATATTATTATTGATTGTTATTTATTAACATTACCCATATCGTACCTTTGGTATAATAAAGCCACATGTGATGATACGTCAAAAGTGCTTTTATTTATCACTTGAAATAGGTCAATGCGTCAAAGTCATAAAAATGATACGAACTTTTTTTTGAGTTTTTCTAGGGACACAGACGAGGTGTTGACGATGATTTTGTTTTTTTTTTTGTTATATTGATCGATATATATAATAAGAAACCATTTCCTAGATGGGTTTGGTTTGATAATGATTATTTTTCTTATCAGAGTATAAAGATTTCTTTTAATAAACACCTCGTCTGTGTTGTCGATGTAGCGTAGTGTCTGAGTAAAATCATGTCGATGTAACATGATGTCGGAGAAGCGTAGTGTCTGAGTAAAATAATGTCGAAGTAACGTATTGTCGGAGTAACGTAATGTTTGAGTAATATCATGTCGATGTAACATGTTGTCGGAGTCGCGTGTGTCGAAGTTCAGTATTAAGGCCCATTTAGATGGAGAGAGTTTCTCGTCTCGAAGATACGATTATCGAAAGAATATAAAAAAACTTTCCTCGTCTAAACATTTGCGATTATCGACCGTCCACGTGAGCGATAATCTCCTCGCCTTTCAATATTGAACGTCTCCGTGTAAACAGAACTCGAAAGCAAAAATCGTATTTCGAGTTTCTATGCCAGCCGTTTCTACCACGAGTGCAGCGCGCGAGGGTGTTTTGATTATCACTGCTTTTCTAAGACAAGAATTAATGGAACAAGAGCGAAAAAAAAATTTCAAATAACGGTGAGTGAGTGAGTGCCTCTGTGGTCGAATATAGCGTGGGCAATATAGTATTTAGGGTGCTCTCGTAACGAATATGGCACTCCTTTCTAAATCCAGGATGAAAAGTCGTGCCCGCACTTTTCAAATAATGGCAAGTTGGGTATCGTTTTTGAGGTATTTGGGGGTGCTCATTACGAACATAGCATTTATTTCTAAATCCAAGATGGCCGACACGACTTTTCAAGTAAATGTACTTTTCAATAAACACTCCTCACTAACTCCCCACTCACTCCCTACTCACTCACTCACTAACTCACCACTCACTCACTCACTCACTCACTCACTCACTCACCACTCACTCACTCACGCACTCACTCACTCACTCACTCACTCATTCACTCACTCACCCACTCACTCACAACTCACTCACTCACTAACCACTCACACACTCACTCACTTACCACTCACTGACTCACTCACCCCTCACTCACTCACTCATCACTCACTCACTCACTCACCACTCACGCACGCACGCACGCACGCCCGCGCGCACGCACGCACGCACGCACTCACTCACTCACTCACTCAGTCACTCACGCACTCACACACGCACTCACTCGCCCTATAAATTTATCATAATTGTCAGTTTTGTTTGTGTCAGTAGTTATATAATTTAAAAAAAAATGATAAATCAAAATTATATTTCTATACAGTGCAATGAACTTAATATTATCAGCAGTTCCAAATTTGAATGATTTTTGCGTCATTTCGATATATCCATAGTCAATACCGCAGTAATCACTGAACTCGAATGGCAATTCTCGCACTCAAAACGGTTCGACCCGATTTGTACGATAATCGTATGAACTTGAAAAAATGTCATACGAGATCGTGTTTAGACAAGTCGAAAACTCGTAAGCAAGAATCTCCTTACTACATATTTCTCCGTGTAAACAGTCGAGGAGGCGATTAAGTTGCTTACGAGTCTCGTATGACATAATCGTAGGCGAGATTTTAGTTCTTGCCTGAATGTAAACATTATGATACGATAATCTTATGGCGATTATTGCTTACGAGAATCGCCTACGAGTTTTCGTCTCGAAGCGTGCGAGAAACTCTCCCCATCTAAATGGGCCTTTAGAGTGGTAAAAGTTATTTGGTTGCTGTGTTATCGAAGAAATGTCACTTAGCACTTAGTAAATCTATTTTATTATAATTTGTAGTTAATCTCAAAAGCAATCAAGATTTTGAAGTCAGAATTAGATCGACAATGAATAGAAATCGCTTGGACCTATTTCTGCCGCTAAGAAGTAATGTGAACATAGTGCGTGCCGGACTTGTCCGCTTGATTCAAAGTGATGGGCGCAGTGGCAGTGCCCCTTAGATCTTTGCGATTTAAAGCTCTGAGCGGTACTGCAACTGTCATGGAACTGACACACACTTGATATGAAATTGTACGTAACGAAAAGCACGTTACGAAATACTACAACAAATTTAACATTAAGCTTATTATACATTGGCAAAATATAGTATTGGCATATCTGCCTACTGACAAACTCATTCTTTTTTGCATTGTCGAAGTCGGGTAATAACTGTGTACATTCAACTTTATCCCGTTATGTAACGAAATGCACAAAAATCTTACGAAATACTAGTACAAACATGATCATAACAGAGTTTTTAAATGCCAATGGTTTGTTATAACCTGATATTACAAATGTAATACGCCTATTAAACTTTTGATTTACGTGTATTACGAAGGGATAAATAAATCAAGACTCACCTTATCATGAAAAAGTTCTTTACTATTAACGTCACGAAAATATTGACCATCACGTTTGGACTGATTATCATGAAAAATATAGCCGAGGACGCCGAACGAACAGCCAATGACGACGATTCTAGGGTGCCCACGCAAAAATCTAACGAATGGTTATTTGATTTTTAATTTTTATTCGTCATTAAGTCCCGAATTAAAAATCAAATGATGTGTAAAAATCGTGAAAGTTTAAATAACGAAATAACGTCTAACGGATGAGTTCGGAAATTAAGTGATAGTGGAAATTAAGCGTAACGAAAGAAAGTAAATCGGTATGACTCATTTTATTTTTGGCACATTACTTAAATTTTTACTACGAAACCACATATCAAATCACACTAATACAGAAACTATATTCAATCAAGGTCTGTAATACAAAAACATGCACCTTATTAATGTGACATTTCGTATTTTATGAAGCGACAAACACTTGGGGTCAGGGGGCAGCAATTTTAATTTTGTATGAAGAGTAAAAAACGTTGTCATGAAATAGTTGAAATAATTAATGAAATAATAAGATTACACTTTTCACTTTTCGTAGTATTAAAAACTTATACAAGTTGTCGTTTTGCAGATGTGGCCTTATCTACATACACATACTTTATATATTATGTATTTATTAGTTCTTATTATTTAGTGTATTTATGAAGATATTTTTTGGTCCACCCCTTTAGCATATTCCAAATGCCTGTCCTGAGGTTACGTGGAATTGGAACTGTTATGCATTGGACCATGGTACCAATAATAACTTAAAAATACAATGTTGAGTTGTTAAATAAAAGATTTTTTAAAATAAACATCTTTTATTTAGATGATTCATTATTTACAGTTTCCTACATTACATTTTAGTTAGGCCTATGGGAAGATAGAAAACATTATATATTACTCTATCTACGTTAAAATACATATTATATTGTTTTATACTTATGTAAATGACTGACAATGTATTTTTACGAACTAATGTCATATATTAATGGGAACTGTTGAAGTCAAAAATGCCACTATTTAAAAGGTCAATTTTGTTAATTTTCGTTTCTTATGTTTTAATTTTGAGGTCAGTAATCTTATAGTTCTCCAATCACGTCTCTTGGCTCCAAGATGTAATTAGTTGTGATCGCAAACAAATTACTGGTCACTTTTGGGGTCACAGAAGCCCTAAAATGCCGCCCAACAATAATTAGTAACACTGTTACTTTTAAAAAACTTTTAAATAATGAGGGAGCATGACATGCACAGAGGTCACTCTTAATTAGACAGACTAAATATAATTAGACCGTCGTAATTATATTTACACTATCTAATTGTGTTAATTTGACAGTCTAAAATACAATTATTACATGCACGCGCGGTTTTTCAAATGTTTAAACTGCAGTGCATCTGTATTCATAATAATTGGCTGTAAGCAGTTTATTACTTTTGATTTATAACTAATAATGATACATTTGATAGGTGTAAAATTAGTGCGCTGCCAATGATCTTATATAGAACTAATATAAATTACAATAACAAGTCCTCTCATAGACACAATGTACGGTATTGTATTGTACATACAGTTAAAAATGCAATAAAAATATGTTCAGTTTGGACCATTTATTGAATCAATACAAAACTTTTAACATGAAAATAATTCTGTGTGGGGAAAAAGGACGTATTAAAATTACTCCTTCATTAGTAATTCCCATTATATAGCTTTGTTGTAAGTGTAGACAATCATATAACATATAATGTACAACATAGAGCTCGGACATTGATATTAAAATTGCAAGGAAACCTATGCGAGTCTTTCTACAATCGCGCTCTAAATTGATTCGCACGTGTATCGATTCCGGATGCATATCAGCTTGTTAGATTTTCATAGTATCAGGACGAGGGTAGCATTTGCCAGGTTATCATGATAAGCATCACAAATAAAACAAAATACATACGCGTGCGGAACCAAATATTTGTATAGCAGGTGAAGTGACAAAATTGTTTGGGTATCTTGACACTCAAAAGATACATTCAGTGTCTCTCTTGTTCTTCCCAAAGTTATATTATGCTTTGCAAATGAGCTATGACGATATCAAACGTAATTTGTTATACCTATGAAACATACACGTCAATTTATAGTGTGTGTTGATCATGTAGAGTTCTAAATGGACCACAAGTATAATTCCTAATTCAAATTCAGTCCCTTCAATATCAATTTCTTCAGTATTCATCCCCAAATTCAGTTCATGCCACCATTAAAACTCTATTTATAAGCAACGGGTCACAATAACAAGAGCTAGCGAGAACATTTCCATATCTTTCTATTCAAGTTTTGATTATAGTGACCCTTCCTACTAACCTCTTAGTTATGCGGGAAGGGCAGTATAAGTTGTACAAGCACAGGGACGGACCTTCCAAATTCAGGTCCTGACCCCGATTCAGAACTTTTCGACATTTTAACTGAATCATTCGATTGGATATCATTCTCGAATCGAAGGGCGCTTTCAGAGTTATTCAGAGCATTCCGAGTTAAACATTCAATTCGGATTCGGATACGATATCGTTACCCAACAGCGTTTACGGAGTTAGTCGGTGAAATAGATTAAAAGAAATATTAAAATCCTTTTATATGCATTTTTAAGACTTTAAAGGCCTGAAATATAGGATTGCATTAGTCTTGCATTAAAATAAATTAATAAAATTGAACAAAATCCAGTTTATTTAAAAGAAAAAGATATTTCCATATTACATTCTTGCTTTGTAAACAATCGGACATTCAGTAACTTTTATTCGATAACTGTTCTGAATAACGGTCGAGAAGTTCGAGTAATCGTACGGGTGTGAAGTCATTTCGGTTCGGTTTCGAATAAGACTGAAAATTAAAAGAATCAAATCGAATTGGTCGACTACAGGGTTATCGTAAGGTTCTGAATCAACTCTCTGTGTCTGATCTGATCAGCCAGAGAGAACAAAAAAATCATATTTTAAGAGAATTTTAACCCTAGCACTCATTTTTAATAACAATTATAAGTTATAAACTTCGGTTTACATAGCTAAATAAATTATTAAACTGAAATAAATTTGACCTAAATCATGTTCGGAAATGCAAACAAATCCGGTTCTGCATCTGTTACTTACATGGGTATGTGAGACAAAACAATATAATAATAATCCAAACACAATGGGCCAGTAATTAAAGATTGTAACTATGATAGTCACTGCAAAGAAAAATATTTTTTTTCTCACACATAGTTTGGTGTCTATTCTCGCTTACTTAAGAGAAATTTTTTTTGCAAATCCTTCCTTGGACTCTATTTGTACTGGTTATTTTAGATATAAGGACAACAGAATATATTTTCCACTCAAATAGAGCAAAAGAAGACATGGGTAAATCACCAACAGGATTGTTATTTTCACATCTCTCTGCTTAGTTGGAAACATATACTGTCTGTGCCCTGCTTTCTCTTTTAATATATTCGATGCACCACTGCCTATAACACGACCTGTTTAAGTACAACCCAATGTCCATCACACAAATCACTATCTGACAGTCACACTAACACTGGACACTTATCACTTCAGTGGAATGCATACAACAGTAGTAGGAAGGTGCACACTGCAACAACGAGACCAACTATCAAGGAATCGCGTCGTTTACGAGCGTTTATCCGGTAGATCAAACTGTTTAACATTGGGAACCTGAAGCAAAAGAATATTATCATTGTATTACTATTTCTGATATAACGTCACGTAAAATATAGTAAAGTAAAATAAATCTTATCAAAGTTGTCATTGATGTGTATTGTGGTCTCCATGGTAAGCATTGAGCCGTCCAACCAAACGAGCTCTTATTTCGCTTTTGCAATATATGGTGACTATTTGGAAGATGTTTTGTACAAGTATGTCTTTTAATATTTATTAACCGACTTCAAAAACTAAGAGACGTATTTTGTTTTGTATGTATGTTACGCGATAACTACGGATAATTTGTGAACTGATCTTGATGACTCTTTTTGGTTGGAAAACAGCTCAACGGTGGTCCTCTTTAAATTTGAAGAAAATGGTTTCTGGTTTTGCGTATTTTCCGGTAACCAATTACAATAAAACTACGCAAATATCTGTCATTCCACGAACTTTTGAGGTCGGTTTTTATAGTACTCTGTACTGACATTATTCACTATATTTTATATAGAGTATCCACACTTGTACATTTGAAAAATAACCTCATTTTTGGACACCATTTTTAAAATACAAAAATGTGATATCAAGTCGCAATCTTCAATATATATACATGAAAGTGTTACTTAGTGCATTTATTGAGTGATTGCTTTAGAATTTTAACCAAACTGGTTTGTATACCTTTCCTGTATAATGGTTTGAAACAGCTGTTAGCTTTACCTGTTGGTGATATCATTGAATCGCGTCTGCATACGCTTGAACGTTTGCCGCTGCGTGGTGAGGTGCTCCCGCGCTTCCATTGCAATGTTGATCTGTTCATCCACCATTATGTGTGAACTGTGGAAGAACAATTTAAAAAAGTGGTGTCTGTTGGCAACATTGAGTATGGAGATTTGTCTAGCGCAATCATTGACTTACAAATAAATGGACGACGGGTCTAATACAAAAACCACGAAAAAAATGTCCCAAGTCAACCTATTTAAACGTAGTGACATGTAAAGGAATATGAAAAAGCTAAAACGTTGAATTTAAACTGTAATGTCATCGCAGTACTGTCTAATTTTGCTTGCTTCGCTGTCAGTCGAACAAACGAAGACTAAAGCGTGAATGACGCTCTGTATACGATTTTAACGCCCTATAAGTTCGGACACTTTTTAGCGTGGACCCGACGTCCATATAATTGTAAGTCAATGAGCGCAATTAAATTTTTGTGTTGAATCTTTACAATTTGACAGAACTGTACATTTCTTCTACTATGGGCTTTGAGTAGTCGCTTTCCTGCCAAATATAGTTTAAACTATTATACCTCTTATCATTGGTTTCTTTTTAGATTTTTTATGATACTACGGGACAGGACGAACAAGTCGTGAGCGCCTGGTGTTAAGCAACACGCCTGTCCATAGCAATTGCAAAGCCACTCAAAGTTTTAAACCGCAAAGATCTGAAGAACTCTGCCGCTGCACCTGTCGCCCCAACACATAAGTCGACAAGTCCTATGTGCATGTAATTTGCCTAGCACCGTTCTCGCTCCCAGAATCTACCTAAGCAGGCCGAGCTGTAGTTTGATCCACATAAGCTCGGACGTCCCATAGTCTGCAGGACGCGAGAGTGGACAGCGCTCAACCAAACAAGTTTGTTGCGTCCCCAAGTCCGCAAGACTGTAGACTGATTGGATATTTCCGGTATTCCGTAAATGGCGGACACGCTATAAAGTAAGTTTGTGTCAATTTCGGAGTGAAATGGTTAAATGAAGTAGACTATAGACCTATGCAAATGGTTAGCTTCTTTGGCGTATTGGTCGCGGCGGCTGAGGCCGGCGGAGGCAGAGGGGGGAGGGCTGCCCCCCCGCAGCAGTTCCTCGCGCTCCCGGCGCGCGTTTACGCGCGCAGATGTCTTTGAGAATTCTTGTTGGTAGTCCTGATAAGAAATGTACAAACAAGGGTTACAATATAGCCCATTCGCATTAACATAATGGTTACAATATAGCCCATTCGCATTAACAATATAGTAGGGGGTCCATTCATACGACGTACTACACACCTAGTTTAGTTCAGAATTGCTGCCGAATTAGAATCTTAACTCATAAAGTTCTACATAGAATTTATTCTTGAGTCTAGCATGCCTATGGAAAGGGAAATGAGTGCAATGTGGAGAAAGGAATCTTATTTTCCTTTTGATTTTATGGTCTGATCCTTTTTACACAGTTTTTATACAGGTGACCCTTGTATTGCACAGAATTTTGTACATTAATCTCTAATATATTTTAGAACCTACCATTAGTATTTCTCTGTGCCTCTTTATAGTGTGCATCGTTGCAGCTCCCCCTGGTGCCAGTTCTGCCATTTTATCATTAATTGCCGACAGCTGAAATTAAAAAATTATTTACATAATACATTATTTAGTGTGAAGATTAATTCCTATGCCTTTTTGAAGGTACAATTCCTTGTTATGACAATTTTTACTACTTTGAAAAGTGATAAAACCTTTTAAGGCAACGTTTAGTGTTACCTTTTTCCTTCAGTTTGTTATGTAAAGGGTCAAAGCAACCGCATGACGGAAGGAAGAGGCTACATAGAGATTCAAATGGAATAGCATGGTTTACTAAATCGAAAAAGATGACCAATATAATTATTTGCTTTATTGACTTGTCACGTGATTCCCAATAGATATGAAAATAATAACCGTCTCAGAGTTAATTATGTGGGGTGTCAGAAATCTTACTAAAATCTTTCAGTTTCATGGCTTTATAATAATAAAGAAATTATTTAAGGTTTATTGGGTTTTCTGTCCCAGCATCATTACAGTTTTGAGTTAAGACCATTGCAGAACTACACTAATTTCTTAGAAACCAGTGACTTTACTTCTTTTGTTTGGGGCTTGTGATCTACAATATCTTATTCATCAATTTTCAGCATTAATATTTTTTAAATAATATTAGAGTAGCTTATTCTGGATTTGTGCAATCCTTCATCATTGTGACCAGCAATCGATTTACGGGGATTGCAATTGCAGGACTTTCTTGGCTCAGTATATAAATTGATATAGGCCTTCAATACCTTATTGAGCAGTTGTTGCAGCTCCATAGACATTGTATCAAACATGTCATCGCTGTTGATGAGTGGTACACTCTCTGCGCTCAAGCCAGCTGTGGAACTCACGCCAAGTTTGCTGAACCCAACTAGTTTCACGTCTATGTCGTTCTCTAGGAGACGTGCTTGTTTTCTTAGATCTGAAAATTAAAATTTTCACAAATATTATTATATTGATTATATACCCTTTTCAAAACATTGCCAGATCCTATACATGTGCAACATTTGGAGCAATTACACTAATAATCCTATGGTGCATTGTATGTACATTTCAACAATGCCCTCAGGGGAATGCTGGGGCTGCCTTGACACTGTAGTGCCTCAGGGATTTTCGCAGAAGCTAGAATTGATAGTTTTCAGGCAATCATTTGCAAGAGAGTGGCATCCCTGTTGGCCTGAGTGTGAGGCAGCACCAACAGTCTTCATAAGGTGGTAGCAGAGAAGATGGACAGCCCAATCCAGCCCAAATCAAAAATGAACACTTTGCTTTCGACTAACATAGTTGTAAGTACCTACTAACACCACATGGACGTGTAACTGTACCTATTGTCTGAAATAAAATAATTAAATAAATAAAAAAAGTTTCATTTCATTTCGTTCATTTAATTTAATTTAATTTTGTTATTGTACTATTAAGATAAATAGACAATATTAATATAATGTAAAAAAACCTTTAACAGGTTTTTTTATTATTATTTATTGGCACCTGTTAGTCTTAGGCATTTACCGGGGCTTTAATCCCCGCTAAATGCCTAAGACTAACAGGCAATTCGAGGCAGACAATTTGAGGGCACTGCCAAAGCACCATATCATCACTTATGCAAGGAGCTCTTGACACCAATTCCGCGTGGTGTCAAGATAACGAATTATCTATAAACGCGGAAAAGACATCCATAGTCCCCTTCACTAGGAAGCGGAAACTAGATAAACTAGTGGAACCGATCCTTGGTGGCAGGATTGTGAGTTTTTCCGCAAAAGTTAAATATCTTGGGATAACCTTAGATCAAACCCTAAGGTGAAACTGCCATGTAGCTAACACGGTTAACAAGGCCAAGATGGCCTTAGATATCTGTAGTCGTATGGCGGGACAGCGTTGGGGTCTAAAACCAAAGATGACTCTGGTTATACAAGGCAATAGTGAGGCCTATAGTAACATATGCCTCTGCTGTTTGGAGTGCTAAAGTCAGCCAAACAACCACTATTGCCACTTTGAGCAGTCTACAGCGCATCGCGTGCTTGCTAGTAACGGGAGCCATGTCCACTACTCCGGGGGCGGCCCTAAATGCATTGTTGAATCTGACTCCCCGGTCAAGGTCGGTACCAGCATGTACAGGCCCACCACCATGTTGAGGTCCAGATGGCTTACCCAGACATTGAGATTAACTCAGGACTCAATTCTGAAACATTCTGTTCTGGGAATGACTTCTGATGTCATGCTTCCCAAGCAAAACTTTAAAAAACTCTACCAGGTAGAATTTCCAACTAGGGAAGACTGGAAAACCAACAGTCTTACCTGGAAGGACGGTAACCTTCTTTGGTATACCGATGGGTCTGAGATGGGACCCAACGTATAAAGTAACGTAAAGGTATACACGGCGTGGACCCAGGCTCAACTGTAATCTGAATTTGAGACGACACTCCTCTAGCTTTCAGGCCGAAATGTACGTCATAATTGCTTGTGCGGATTTGAACCTGAAGAGAGGCTACGTTAACAAGTATACTTACATAAACTCAGATAGTCAAGCCGCTCTACATGCACTAACCTCTGTCACCCAAACATCGAGGATTGTACAGAACTGTGTGACTATACTGAATGTTCTCAGGGAAAGGAATAAAGAGGTCCTGCGCTGGGTTCCAAGTCACTCTGACGTCACGGGGAAATGAGCCAGCAGACGAACTGGCAAAGGCTGGTGCTAGGGAAACCTTTATTGGACTCGAACCCTTTATAGGGATAGCATACAGCCTTGCAAAGCTCACTCTGCTGAACGAGAGCACACACGTATCCCGAGAAGTGTGGCTACAGAGTAAGGGTCTTGAGCATTCAAAAGCCCTGATAACTGCCTACAGTGCTAAACACTGTAGAGAAGCTCTGTCATTAGACAGGAATGCCATCCGAGTGCTCACTAGAGTCTTAACAGGACATTGTGGCTTGAACACAAAGCACATGTCAAATATTGGGCAGAGAGAGAATAGAGAGTGTAGAGTCTGCCATGAGGCGGATGAAACTTCTGCTCATCTTCTCACCCAATGTTGCCTCCTGATGGGCGTACGAGGCTCCATACTGGGAAGGCACAAGCCACAACCAGAGGATATTAAATCTGTCGGAGCCAGGATAGTCCTTCAGTTCTTCAATGCTGTCGGCCTTGGCTCCGAACTGTAATTAGTGGTGATCACAATAGATCAACTGATGGTCGCAGTGATGAGGGGCTACATATGCCCCAAATGAAGCCACCCTAATAATAATAATATTATAATAATAGTCTTAAGCATAATCAGATAGGTTATCTTAGTGACAAGGAAAAGGAGTGGCTTTCGCAAATATTTAATGTATATGCCATATTATATGAATCTTCAGGGCCGTATAAAGATTTCTTTAAATATATTGTCACATTAGTCTTACTTCATGCCAATAAACAACAGCACGACTGTTGACCTATTTGCAACTATACATATACTAAATGGAACAGATAAACTAAGCCATAGCTTTGTTATTTTTGATACTATTTCTCATTGTACAGTTTCTATCCAAATATAATCAACATTATGGTTAATTTAGACTGCCTGTACCGTAAAGTACAGTCCCATTGTAGGGGCGAAGGTGAATTAACAATTGAGTTTTTGTGTGGTTTGCATTTTTGTTGAAAATGTAACTACTTTTTAGATCTAAAACAAATATATCATATATGTTATGTCAATCAAATCAATGTTTTGGGCTCTTTACCGGTAATTGGTAGTAGCTGACTACAATGAATTATCTTTTTCTTTTTTCAAATGTTAAAATACGCAATCGTCTTTACCCTCTGTGCTTATTTGTACTTTGCAAATTAATGTGTTTGCCCCCAAAAACGAAAGGTTTTATTCCTAGCTATGTTTCAGTAACTCATAGCTGAGGGTTTTAAACATCATGGACACTTTTTTATATCCAGTTACTGTAGTCAATGATTAAGGCAGTCACCACAATTAATAACTTGAAATCTCTTTCAAGTGGGTCAAAAAAGCTTTATCAACAAACCAAAAAAAGGTTTGTTTGAAAAAACAAATGTACGCGATTTAAATCCAGAAAAATAGTTTCATTTCCCAAAGCTTTATTTATTAAGCAATATTACGATTTTGGGTCTAGGCCTCCTCCACATCTTTCCAGTGAGCTCTATCAAGACTATTCTTCACCGAGCACCAAGGACCTGTTGTCAGCTCAGCATGTTAGCGCACTGCATCCAATTCATATTTGTTCCAAATTTGCGACTATACAAATGTAAGAAAACTCACACAAATGTAAGATATTGTTTGTGCACCAAGTCTTTTTGGAATCTGAGAAAATACGAATATCACTCGTACACCTTTTTTTTTTTTTTTTTTGACGGGTGGGAAATCTTTAAAGATAAAATTACACTTCGGACACTTATGGTATTTCAGACTGTCATTCCTCAAATTCGGAAATAATACAAATCAGACTTAGTGCATAAACATTTTCATTTTCCCATCTTTGATGGTGACACCCATGACTATGACTATTTTGCTCCATTTTTCCGGCCTACATAACAGATGCCCAATTCCATCTCCATTTTGCTTGATCTACTTTTGAAAGCATGTTACTTAGCTTGGTTTGGTTGTTATTATACTGCCATTCTGTCATTCCTGACTTTATGAATTTTTCTCACGCCAAGCATGCGACGCTCCATTGCTTGTTGACCCGCTATATTCGTCACCAAATAAGAGGCCAAATTTGACAGCTAAATAAGGTGATATATGTAACTTTGAATGGGATCAACGAAACAATAAACAAACAATTATTAGCATTTTTTTGATTTTTTCAATTGAGTTAAAAAATAATGCATAAATTTTATTGAAACATTATATAATATAACACATATTTGAAGTACAGTTTTTGCACGAATTCCGAAATAAAATGTATTTTGAGTCACTCCGAAATGTTCTGAAAACAGTTACGTCATTTTTTCTTAAATTATATAATATATAATAGTGTTGTAAGCAATTAATCGCTGAATTTCACCGAGTCACTTCAATTTCTCGGAAAAAATATTGACTTATGTAGTTGTTTTATTGACGAACATACTTATTTACACTAAATTCTCGTAATAAACCATGAATATTACAAAATCAAAATAATTTTTTTTTTATACTATTCATCGGAATGTGGGACAATTTTACGAAAATAAGAGGAATTTTCCGATATGATTCGTCCACATCCCTATTCGCATCACATGACAAGTGTTAAATTTGGCCTCTTATTTGGTGATGACTATAATAGCTCTTCATTTTCAAGAACATAGTTTTTTCTGATTGGTCAGAACCTGATCCCCCGTTAATATCATGGAGACTCCTTCGTTAGCTAGCCCTTAATTTATAAAAGTTATAAAAGACCTATATCAACTTCAAGTTTTGTGTCTATGGCTCCGTCGTTTTGCGCAACGATTTTGCCAATGTCAGGGTTGAAAGACATGTGGAGCGGTGGTGAGATAGATTGCCAGTTATTAAAATACTTCGGCGGTTTTTATTCACAATGACGGTTATATATATATTTTAATGACATTACAAAAATATAATTTGAGAGCTCATGTTATTTTCTTTCTTTTAGAAAAAAGTATTTGTATTGTGTATTTCGTATTTAAAGCAATACTATGACAACTAACGCGCCTTTCTCGTCATCAATAAGCATTAGACAAGGGCAACATGTCGTTGATGTTTCTCTTTTGTGATTCCATAACAATATGGGTACACGAAATTATTTCCATATATGGAATTAAACTGTAAATACGTATGAAATAGTAACGCAATCTTAGTTTTCCACGCCCTAGTGGCTTTTATCATAATGCAAGTTCATAAATGCAACACGTCACTTGAGACTACATCGCTAACCGGTGTAATTATAGCTAATTGGCGAAAATTAAACGTACCTTCCCATGAGGAGCTTGTTAATACTGACATTGTGCTTGTTTTAACACACCCACTGTAAAATTACACGGTTTTTACCTGCCGAAATTTAACAAAACAATTTGTTATTACCAAGCAGCTGACATGACAGCCACAAATTAAAAAGATACGACCATAGATCATACACTATATTTGGATACGACTTTATGACAGCAGCCAAAAAATCACGTTCGGATACATACATGCATTGTCTACTTTTTATTTATTGAGCAATAAAGACAATAAAGCTGTCGTAGTATGGCTACGCATGATAGTCGCGACACGCGCGATAAAATTGAAATAAACACGCGCTATTGGCTACCTAAATTAGATCTGATTGAAACAGCCAATAGCGCGCGCTTATCCGATTTTATTGAGCGCGACGCGGCTATCTTGCATAGCCATGCTACGGGGCAATCAGATTTAAAAAATTAAGAAACATAGATGAATTCATATATGTATATGTAAAAAAAGCAATATAAAATGAGAATATGAAAGTATATGTAGCTACAAAAACCCGCCATAATTCTTATGTAAAAAAAGCAATATACCGAAACTAAAAATTAGATTTGTTAAAACTGTAGCGAGAAAAGCCTGCCGTTTTTTTCCCAATTCTATGTAATTTTAATGCATTGTTACTTTATACATCTTTACTAAACAGAAAGCTATGAACAACAATTTTTTTCAAAAAATGCAACTCACTGACGTTATTTTTTCTAAAAATCAGCAAGTGATTTTTTAGTGTATTTGATCATGAAATATATTTAATTTTTAACAATGTTGTTTTTGTACATTCACAAACTACGAGATACTGCGTGTGTAATAATAATAATGTTATTTTAATTAAAAATAAGAACTTATTATAGATAAAATAGGAGTATAAAGTACCACATAAGTAATTTATATCCTTCCCACTGCCGCGCCGCCATCCAGTTAGTTTACTGTTAATTGGTGTAACAAAAATAATTTACAATACTTACTTTACAATACCTTGAAATTAAAGCTAAATTTTTTGCATCGCTATCTTCTTGGAGCATTGGCATATGGCTATGTTTATTTTAAAATAATAATATGAAGAACTTTTAATTAAGCTTCATAAATATTGATGTCTCTGTCTATCATAGCAGGATAACGAGGTGAAAAAAGAGACAACAATAAATGCGATATAAATCTTTAACGTTTAATGAAAGTTTTGATTAGTGCTAGTTTGCCTTAATTGATGAAAATAATGTTATTTTTAGTGTTATGCTTACGAAAGTTTATAAACTTTTACCTCAAAAGAATACACAATATTTCCACAAGACAAATTATTGACCGCGACGCATCGTCACTCACGTCTATCACCTATCCTTTTCCTACGCATGGTATAATTGGCATTAAAAAATATGTCTATCACGTTCTCGCATACCCTACAACATCCCCACTCGCCGCAATCTGTCACTCGTTCATTGCATTTAGCTCGCTCTTTCTTTTCTAGTTCAAAGCAGCTGTTAGATTTCGCGATTTTGTGAATTATTTCCTTCATAAAGATCCAACAATTAGTAGTTAAAAATGTGATATTTCGCACAAAAATAAGTTTTAGTAGTGAAATATGTAAAGTTTAATTTCATAACAGTGTACTCGTTTAGTAAACAAGGACGAAAACAGATCAAAATGGCTGCTCCAAACAGATTGCAGCAAAATCTCAAGTTCGACAAGATATGTCGAGCTTGTTTGCTAGTGAAAAAGGACATGAGACCACTGTTCGAGCAACTGACGGCAACAATGCTGATGGGGATTTCGAAGGTGGAGGTGAGATGACGAATTATTGAAATATTTTGGACACTAGCCTTGTCTCTATCGCACTTATGCATACGTGCGTGTGATGCGTCGACAGAAAATGTCCCATCGCATCACTTTATTTAGAAAAGTCATTGAATTTCAAGATTTCTCGAATGCGTGTGTCTCGAAATTCGATTGAGAAATCGCTTGCTATCTCTGTCTTCCAAATGATATAACTGAAGGAGTAGAAGAGATAGCGATTGTAAAAGTATAATGAATGACTGAGACGGATACTGAAATTACAGTGATTTGGTAATGTTATCCTTTATCGTACGTGTTGGCGCGAAATTGAAAACTTTTTCTCTTCGCATCTTCCTCAAATGGAGAACTATTTACGACGCTACATTACACACGTATTTATATTTTTTATTTATCAATTTAATTTAAACAAAGCAACGTGTTTTTATTAAATACAATTATTTAAACCAAAATTTTCGATGTATTATGTTTTATTTAGTAGGACAGGCACGGACGACACCAGAAGTGTTATTTACGTAAGGTTGTAAAAGATATTAAAGTACGAACTGTTAAAATAATTTATTTAAAAAAATCCGGTACTTAATCTTTTGTTTGTTCAGGGCACTTTGCAGTTTATGTTTGTGAGTTCCTAAACGGGAAAACTTGTTCACGGAAAATAATGGAAAAGAAAAATAATTTAGAAGGAGGTGGGGTCAGTCCTGGATTTATAAATAGGCCGTATAGGCCGCGGTCTAGGGGCGGCAGCGTCCTAGGGGCGGCAGATTTCAGTGGAGACAAAAGTCAAACATGTTCACTGGGTTTCTCACGGTTTTTTATACCTTAAATAAATCCCTATATTTCTATAGGGATTTATTCCATCGAAACCTAACACGACGAAAACCAGACATAATGAACACCATTAACTATGATGATATTATAGATGATTTTCCTATTAAAAAGTCCCGTAAAAATTGTATATCTTGTTTCTTTTTTACGCTCACTGTTAATGACTAATTCATTCCTTTTTCCTTCTTTACTACAATTGGAATATTATTATTTTAGAAAGGTATGTACATGGGGCGGCGGAAATAAAGTGGCCTACACTCATAAAAAATATAAATCCGGCTCTGGGTGGGGTTAAATAAAAATATTAAAATAATGATAAAATAAGTAAGTAAAGTATATACAGGTACCTATGTTATTAAATACAACGTTTAAATGTCTAATTTGAAAGTGACAAATTGTAAGATTCATGTGTGATTGTACGAAAGGTAGCCTTTTTTTTAATTATGTACCTACTCGTAAAAAAGACGTTTTCTCAATTTTTCGAGATATGATAAGATTGCTTTCCAGCGTAGATATCATCACGCCTGTCTCCCGCCGGGGTAGGCAGAGACAATGGACCGCCACCTGCTACCCTCCTCACGCCTCCGTCACTGGATATCACAATTTTTTTTATTAAACAATTTTATATGTTTTAATTTTATTTTATATTATTAATTAACTTATATTTTTTATTAAAAAAATTGGTGTATAGGTGGCGGTAGGCGATGGCCTGCCATCCCAGCTGTGCCTTCAATGCGTGCATCAGATCTCGCGGTGTCACGCATTCAAAGAGATGGTGGAACGCAATGATATAACTTTACGGGAACAAGCCAAGTTTCTCGCTGCAGACGCTTTGAAGAATGAGGTGAGTATGTTAATATTATTGATACAACATCGAACAAACACGAAAAAACCGTTAAAACAAAAACGAAGATCTGCAACAAGCTCATAGAGAACTGAGAAAAACTTAATTAAGTTTACGTTATACTGGATTTTTTTGTTTTTGAAGGGTAAGAAGGGAAGGTACGCGGACAGCGGCGGTAGGTGTCGAACTGCGCTGGGGAATTTATAAAATGCAATATACTATAAAACATAATTTCTACTAAATAAAGTACACATTTCTTCTCACAATAGAGTAAGTAGTACTCTAGTAGCAGTAGAGTTCGCTGTGAAAGAGATCGTCCAGGGAAGTACTGCCGCCTTATCTATTTCTACTGCCAAGCGATAATGTAAGCATTCCTGGGTTTCGGTTTTGAAGGCTAAGGGTGTTGGCACATGGGAATTGTCAACTTATGTCTCAGGGTGACAGGTGCAGTGGTAGTGCCCTTATATCTTTGAGATTATAAAAAAAATCTACATAATAAGGTTTTCTTTAAACAAATAATTAAAATAAAAATGCAGCTGCAATGCGGCTGCGGGCGGCGGTGGGTGTCTTCGGGCGGCGTCGAGCTGCGCCGGCCGCACTTTATAGAATACAATATATTATAAAACGTATAATATATTTCTTCTGAACAAAGTATACATTTTTTCTAATAAAAGAGTATAGCAGTGCTGCGCCACACAGCCTGGCCCATCGCAGCTCGGCGAAGCTCGTCGCCCGCGACCGCTTGCTACATCTTCGTTTTCATAACGATAATTATAAACTTTATCTTCTACGCGATAAGGCTACACTTTTTTGACTTAGTAAATGTAGCCTTATTAAATTTGACCAACTTCTGCTGACCCGATTTTTTGCAATGAAATCATCCTTAGAACAAGTTGAGTCTTATCATCAGCATAAAAGAAATTGATTAATTTAATTTATTTTGTATGAAAAATATTTTATGAAATTTGACCAACTTCTGCTGTCTCGATTTTTTCGTCCCATACAATGAAATGATCCTTACGTAAAACTAAATCAATAAGCACTAAAAAAATTTTGATCAATTTTATTAATTTTTATGAACAACTCACGCTTGACCAAAAAATTGACTATGCCAAAATAGTTTTCACAAAAAGAGACTTGGTTGTTCCTTTTCCTCGTATCTTCTATGGTTTCGGATTTCCCCATACTGTCCCATTAAAAAATAACACTATGTGTCTATATGACACTTTGTTACAGAAAGAGAAAGTTCTTACAATGGATCCTCCTTACATCCAGTATATGGAGCTACCTCTCAACAACAACTCTCAACTGCTGGAAGGATTCTTTGAACAGCCAGTCACTGTACAGGAGCTACAACCTGCCAAAGACTTTGCAATTGATAATAATGTTGTGAGTAATAATAAATATTTTTTATTAGACAATATAAGTTAAAATGTACAGGTAACGTATGTACAATAAAAGCTAGAAACTAAAACTAGCTTTAGCTACGGTTGACGTGCCCGCTATACTCGAGTCAAGCGGCATGTCATGAGTCATTCAATTCGGGTGTTTGTCATCAAATGCTCGGATGGAATGACTCATCCCTTGGAGCATAGTTTCCAAAGTGGTTCCTACCTCCCAGTAGTGGGCGCTCAAGAGTCCTAGGGTAGGGGAAGCAATTGGGGGGGCGTTGATGCTGTCCAGGATGTGCTACGCCTGGAACTGTGGAAGTTACGAGGTGTGACCGTGCAGAGAACAATGTTGTTTTGTGTTGTTAATGTTGTTAATGTTAGTGGTGCGGCTGAAATCAAATAGCGTCTTTGATGCTAATTTGTTTATTACCATTTGTTCCATACAAATGCTCACCAAATACAGTCAGTTAATATATCATCTTAGAATTGATCACTGTGTAAAATATAGGAAAATTAAATTGTATAACGTACGAGTGTTGAACATGGCAGAGCGGCAGAGAGAAGAAAAAGAGAGCGAACAGAGTGACTTTTTAAGTTAGAGCTTTTTAACCATAGATATAATCTAAAGGGTACCATTCACGGTCTAACACATATATAATTGTTTTTCTTTGTTAAGTTAATATAAAAAATACGTGTTTTCAAATATTTTTTTGTGGTGCCTAAGTGGGCGGTGACCCGAAATGTTTGGGAAGTTGTGCCTTGGAGTGTGGGCCGGACACTGGTGTGGGATGCCACGTGTGTCGACACACTCGCCCATCCCATCTCCAACACACCAGCAAGAGAGCTACCTCCGCAGCGGAGCTGTCGAAAAGAATAAAAAGTAATAAGTACCAGGATCTCGGCTCCGACTACCTATTTACAGCATTTGGAGTCGAAACCTGGCTTGTGGGATCCCGGTGCCGAAGTTTATCCAAAAAATTAATAAATTGTCTGAGACACCCAAGGGCCGGCAGCTACCTTGCCCAACGCATTAGCATACACATACAAAGTGGGACCGCTGCTAATCTTGGGCACCTTGCCGAGTCGACCTAATTTTATTCATGTAATTTAATCGTAGTTCTAAGTAATAATGATTTCTTCACATTTTTAATTGGTGACTTCTGAGGATTACAAGTCTTTGAGGAAGTTTGTTTCGCTCGGGTTGGGCGGTTGGGCCCTTTTTTTTTTTTTTTTTTTGGCGAGTCCTGGGATAAACCAATTTTGGAAAAGACATTTTTCAATTTTTTTTTAATAACGCACACACTCAACATAACCCTGCACTAGGGAAACCCTCTGTCCCAGGTGCCACGGACACACATAGACAACCACAAATTACACCCCAACTCACGAGAAAAGCAAATGTAGGCCATACAAATATTTCTATCGGTCTGGGAATCGAACCTGGGACCTCTGAGTGGCAGTCCGGCATGGTAACCATTCGGCCATGGAGGCAGTCCTGGCCGAACGGTTACCAGACAGAACGGTTAGTCAGACGTGTAAAGAGCTCGACATGTTGGTTTGTTTGAAAAAAAAAAAAACAAATAATTATACACTAACGAGGATGCTAATAAGCAATAACGTGTCAACCAACATGACATTAGTTTTGCAAAAGTTTTTGATACTTTGTTTTGTTGTAAGATTTACTTATAAAATATAAACGCGGTTCGAGGGCTTATTTATTAGATCGGAGAGCATATTTTCATTACTAATGCCTAGCATTGGCGAAAACCTGAGAACTTGATATTAGTGTTTTGTTTCTAACACTAAATTGTTTATCTATTTATAGACGTACAAATTGCACTCTTGCTGTAATAAGGCCACATCTGCAAAATTACAATTCTTCAGGAGAGGTTTAACGATTCTATGAACGAAATTATGCGACAACCTCTTTACGCTTAAATAGGAGTCACAAAATTTCATATAGACATTGTTTTTACGACTTTCATGTGATAAAAGCACTTTTGGCGTACTCTCACTATGCCATAGACCAATAATTCAAAAGGACTGCTAATCGCGGTACAAGACAGTATAGTCGGGAATTTAGTAGCTATTGGCATATCTCGGACACTCCGTACAACAGTCGAAAGTTAGTTACTTACTATTACTACATACAGCAAGGCGCTATCTGCATACGCGCAAATGTGTGCGTGAAGTGGCAGGGCATAGGTACCCGTCACTATCTCGTACTATTACGTTAAGTGGTCAGAGCGGCAACAGCGAAAATTCTAACGCGAATCTGTTATCTGTAATTCTATTAATAGAATCGTAATAATTACACATGTTCATTAGGTATTTATATCGATATAATATTATATTTTTATTAATTCACGAACTAGAATAATATTGAAGATTTATATAAAAAATATATTAAAAGCCCTTAATATGTTATATTTTGGACAGGCGCTTTTAAATAACCAAGGTATTTGAAATGGTGTGTCCAAGTTTATCATTTCGTAGTAAAAATTAGGTATATTCACTATTTAATATTTATCGGCAATACAAATTGAAAATTCGAGAAACTTTGTCTAGCTCTCGAAGTTATGGCGTCTCATTATATTGATATAATAAATCTGTATTATGTGTTACTCTGCACTAAATAAACGAAGAAAACAATAAGTGAATGAGTCTCAGATAAGTCTTTTTTACTTGCTTCGTTTCATCTTTCGGATAACGAAAGAAACTCGTCTCTTTATCTCGTTTAAATGATAATAAACAGCCGCACACAGCACTATTAACAACCATTGTATATAGTAACGTGAAATGATGTTATATAATTAACGTTTAAAACATTTAATTTTCGTAATGAATAAATGAAAACTATATTCAAATATCAAAGCCCTCTTAGCGCAAAAACGGCTCGCCGACAGCCATATTGCCGTTCAGTCAATGTGACCGGGGTGTGATGCGGTATCTAAAGCTAGGGAGGGGCAGAGGGTGTCCGTTCTCGTTACTTTTTTGTTCTCTGCTATTGGTACACCAGATGTCGCGACGAGTACCAAATAGCTATTTTTGTAACTACTCCCTTTCTCCTAAACGCTTTCCCCTTTCCATCACCGGGGGACTAGGCGTAGGCTTGGGTTCCACCTTTATGTTGTGGATATTCCAAAGATTCGCACGAAGCGTTATGCTTCCACATTTATATGGCGAACATCTATGGAGTGGAATTCCCTGCCTGCAGACTTGTTCCCTGAACTTTATAACTTGGGCCTTTTCAAGGCGAAAGTGAATATGTATTATTTAGGTGTGTATGCTCCATCGTCGACCTCATCGTCACTTTCTACAGGTAAGATGGAGGTCAAATGCACACTTATAATTTATATTAAAAAAAAATCATTGACAAGCTGCAATTTATCAATTTATCAAATTCTAGTCTAATTTGTTTGTTAAGTAACAAAAATAAAAATTTGTTATTTTTATGTATTTATAAAGTCAAGTAATGGGACAAACAAGTCGTGCGCCTGATGGTAATCTACACGCCTGTCCATAACAGTTTCAGTACCACTCAGAGTTTTAAATCGCTAAGATCTGAGGGGCACTGCAGGGTGACGGCTGCAGACCAGACAGCCGTCACCCTGAGACATGAGTTGACAAGTCTCACGTGCCTGTAATTTCACAAATCAGCTAGATGGCGCTTATTGCACATATTTTTATAGATAGTGCCGGCTATTCTTTTATTTTGTTTAGTATTAGCGTCACCTATCCATGTTAGGAAGCGTTAATTTATAAATTAGTTTGTAACATATAATGCCATCTATTGACATGTCTAATTTGTGAAAGTTTAGAAAATAATCTTAGCTCATGATCAATATTTGAATAATATTATTCTTATATTTTGTATTAAGGAGAAATTAATTGATACCCACGGCCATTTACATAATATAAATTACTTCCAGGCTATTAGCGCCTTCTAGATCTAAGACGGAATTTGACCTTTTTCAGAGTTACGATTCGTCCATGATTATACCAAGGGTACTATTATTACGATATTAATAAAAAAAATTAATCTCTATATAAACTAAAATGTATCTCCCATGTTCAGGTTCATAACCAAATCCAACCAGCCCCATCGACTTCAAAAGAAGACGAAGTCCTCAACTCTGACGAAGAGAACTATCTCCAAATGGTTGTGTACCAAGCCACCTCAACCGTGTCACCGGGGAGACACGTCTGCAATTTGTGCCATAAGGAGTTTAAGCATGCGCGTTGGCTGAAGCAGCATATGAGGTCCCATTCGAATTGGATCAAAGCTAATTGCAAGAAACCACCTATGTGCCCGATTTGTGAAAGGACTTTTAAGGTAAGAAAGTTTTAGAACTCCAATAGTACTAGAGATACATAGCAGTAGATAGAGCTCCTTGTGAAAGAGTTCGTCCAGCAAAATACTGCCAATTTACCTTTTTCTGCCACCAAGCAGTAATGTGAGCATTACTGCATTCCGGATTTGAATGGTAAGGGTGCTGGTGAAATTACAGGCACATGAGACTTGGCAGTACTCCTCAGATGTTTGCGATTTAAAGCTCTAGCAACTGCTGTGGATAGGCTCGTCGCTTACCACCAGTTGCTCTGTTTGTCCCGACATTTAGTATTATAATAAAACAACTATAGACAAAAGTAAATTTAACAGGGTCCAGGTATGTTAAAAATGCACATGAGAACACACGAACAACGTCCTCCAAAGCAGCCAACGTGCTCCGTTTGCCAAAGGACATTCCCGACCAAGACGTTGCTGTACCGACATCGTCAAACCCACTTCGAGCAGAAGACTCATCAGTGCACGTTCTGTGAAAAGAGATTTTTCAGTGGATATGCTTTAAGATCGCACATGGCCAGGCATAGAGGAGAAAGACCCTATATCTGTTCCATGTGCTCGAAGAGCTTCTACAATCCTACTGATTTGAAGGTAAGTGGGGTAATTTTCACGTTTGTTTTTCTCTGCCTAATTTCCGTGGCAAGTTTTATTATTTAAATATTCTAGAATATTATCACGAAGTATTGTTTAATATTCGAGTGTAGTATCTTGAAATTTTTAATATTTTACGATGATACATGTTCTTGAATAAAATATTTTATAATAATAAAAAAAATATTTTATAATAATAAAAATTGCCACCAGACTTAAGTAGAGAGGCTTACCTGAAAATTATCCAGCTAAAACTCTGGATTTATTATAAAGACTTATTATAAATGCGTTGTTTACCTCGTTATGGTTTTCATTCCCGTTGCGTATGCGCGTCTCGAGAAAAAATCGAAAAGCGGTCGCGCGGTGCGGTCCCGAAAGTCCCGAGAAAATCGAGACTATTTTGTTAAAGTAGTTTTCCATATTTATAGGCTAGGTGTTTAGGCAGTCACAACATGAGATTTTAATCTAGTTCTTTATTAACTCAAATTTTTGAATTAAAAAAATATTTAGGATTCTTTTTAAATTGCGTTAGCATTTAACGTTATTTTAGTTTAGATACAGCGGACCTAATTTATTACAATCTTTTTTTAATTTCCACATAATAGATAAGCTCCACTCTACAGTAGTGTTGTGATGACCATGTAATCTGAATAAAAAATTTGTGTTGGTTAAGCAGAATTTTTCTACTATTTTAAGTGACTTGTCCAAGCAAGGACAAGACGAACTAACGAACTCGGGAACTAGATGAACTAGAAGACCGACCTAGTTCAGTTGATGATTCAACTAATTACGATCGCTCCCTCTGACCGATCAAGCACAAGTGAGAAAATAGCTCTAATGTGACATATTTACTTCATTAAAATGTTTAGTAATAAATCGGAACTTTGTTAGCTGTTAAAATTTATTTTTATTTTTTTAGTACTATAAATATATTTCTAATAAACTATAGTAATGTATAAATTTAATTCATTTTATAAATAGACGGCGTCGAAAGCGTCCCACAAGGCAGTTTTTCATATTTCTCTTCCTCTACTTCCATAACTTTAAATGATTCTTCAAACGATTTTTTGGTATGTTTCGATAAATAAACAGGGAACGTGATTTGGAAGCGAATTATCAGATTCCCTTTAGCCCTTTTAGGGCAAACTGGGATAGGTAGTCCTTCATCCTCAACGATTTTCTCATAGGTCGGCGTTATTACGTCATCAATGATGACCCTCAACGTTCGATCATCCAAAGTTTTCAAGGTTATCATGTAACCACACAAAGCGTCTTTTAAGGAGACAGATTGCACCGTCAACAGATCACTCAACCCTGATCGCACGTAAGTTTCGTGCGGTCTATCTTCCGTTATGAAAATAACGTCGGCAGGAATTCTAGTCGGACCTTGATCGCCTTCTTCCTTGAATCTTATTTCTGTATTTGGATAAATGCCTGGCTTAATCGGTATGGACAAGACTTTCTCACGCAATTTCAATTCCGAGCAAGTTTCGTCGGTGAACACCAGGCGTTGTATCTTCATTTTCTTTAAACCACCTTTGTATATCTCTTCTAGTGCCAAAGCTAGCGGTCTGACTATCGTTGGATCCTTTTCTTTATACCCTTTGCCTAATGGAGAGTCGAACATTGGAGGCGGATTTTCGTAATAGTCTAGTAGGTCGGCGTAAGGGTTTGTGGTGCCGAAGAATTCGTGGAATGTTCTCAGAGGTTCACCATGGTAAGAATAAGGTTGGATGTATTCTGTCGGACCAGGAACACCTCTCTTAAGACCTTCTTCTCCATATTGATCGAACACTGCTCGTCTTTTATGATCGACTAGGACCTCATAAGCTTCGCCTATGAGCGCGAAGATCCGTTTCATATTTTCATCGTTATCGTGTCTTTCTGGGTTGTACTTGAGCGCGAGACGTCTATACGCTTTTTTTATTTCCAACTGATTGCAATTGCGTTTCACGCCCAAAATACCATAATAATCGAAACCCATCTTGTGGTATTTTAAGAAGTGTTAACTAGAACAGAATTGTATATTTATGATTATTTCAATTTCGATGTATGTTGTCAGTTAATATTGATCAAGAAATCTTTAAATTCTATATTTTCTTCGATAAAATTCTCACTATAAAACTTTATTTGTCAACTTTGACTGACTTTAGATGACATTATGGAACACATTATAAAGCATTGACCATATAAAGGTTGTAAACGTTGAGTCACAGCAAGGAGTCGGTCAGAGATACTTAGGTATCAGTGATCTTATAGTATTTAAGACCATTGGTTACTTGGTAGTGTTGAATCTTTAAAGGGGTTGTTTGCTTTTACAAACAGAATAGGATTGGATATAATTAACCAGCGCAATCATAGGCGCAGAGGGGTTAAGCGTCTGGTTGGTTTTGTTGGTAGGTTTCACTTTAGCTAATAGACTATTAACTAAAGTGATCCCGTAGTTTTTTCTTCAACTGGACATTGGCGTCGTTCACCATAATTGTTATATTAATTTTACAAAACTACCGTGCATGGTCATTTTTAATTCTGACATTGGCAAAATCAAAGAGCAAACAGATTTGTTAACAACAATTATCTTGTGGAGTCGAAGCTACAAAATCTCGACCATCGCAGAAAAGTAGCTTGCTTTTTGGTTTGTGCTGTTTTGTTTGTGTTTTTGGTTTGGTTTGTGGAGTGTGCGCAGGAACTTTTCAATTTGGTTCCAGCCTCACCGTTCCTCCTTTGGTCGACTGGAAGGTCCGGAGCACTCCATCCTTATGTCGTTGACATACCACCCATTCGCAATAAAGCGCTTTACTTTCTCCTTTCTGATGCGTACGGCAAAGGAATGGAATACTCTACCGGTTCTATTCTATCGTTTCCCGAAAAGTACAATCTGGGGCTATTCAAGGCTAGAGTGAATAGGTATTTTTTAGGCAAACGCGTACCATCGTCGGTCACATCGTCGCTTAACATGGAGAGATTGTGGCCAAGCGAATGTCTATTATTTATATAAAAAAAACAGTTGTAGGTACTCTTTGCAGCTTTGCCTTAGAAGCGCAGGCTTTAAAATTGACTAACGGTGTCACTCAAGGTGTTGTTAAGGATTCGATAAATATTTACGAAATTAGTTATACGTCTGAGGTGGGCAGCGGGTTAAAACTCAATCAACCCGCCCCGGTTTTAACCGGGGTTTTATCCAAAGCTCGGTTTTAACCCATTTCTGACCAAAATCATGGGCAGAAACAGCTAATACGGAATTTGGTATAATTTTATACTTATTTTTTATACAAATTTCTATGTACAAATCTTTTTTTCAGAAGAAAAAGGGGCAACTTCACTCAATTTTCTTCAACTCAATTCAATTTTGCAATCCTGTGGATTTTCACTACTAAGGATGGACACTACGATCCGATTCTTATGAAGATCGATTCAAGTGCATACGATCTAACGATTTTTTGCATCGAAATATTTTAGTGCGATCGTCTAGATCAGAAAGCAACAAATATTTTGTAATTATTAAATCTGAACGACACTCGATTTACACAACAAACATTTATTTGTAAATATGTTTTGCCTTCGATCTCGGGCGTTAAACTACTTAAACCCGGCAACCGGTTAACAAAGTTCCAAAAATCCCAAATTTGTTAGAATTGTCAGCCCATCTGCTGCTTTCCTATAAAATTCAATTTACGTTGGTGCGGAACGGAATCTATGCGAATTTTGTAACCATAGCATGATGAACTTTAGGTACCTAAAAGTTAGCTAGCTTCGTTCGCGGTTGGCACCACTAGAAAAGAAAATATTTTTTCGGATCTAAATCGCGTTATTTTCAAACAAAGCAAAGTTTCGTGCCCTTTTGAATATTGATAGAAATTGGAATCGATCAAATCGGGTAGTCTCGGAAAGAGATGGGTTTCTGAGCGAGAAGATGAACCTGATACCTACTATATCTTTCTAATTTGTGAGTTAAATCAACTATTGTTCCGATTAGAAATGTCAAAAGTTTCCAATCGGCCAGTTGTGAATCGCAATTATGCGCCTCGACTCGGAAAAGACGCAGTTTCCGATCGGGATAGACAATCAAAATCAAGCTGTTGGTCTCATCACAATAATCGTGAAAACCTAAGAACTCGATAATTTGTGTGAGATTCAAAACTACCTTTATTAATTTCCCCACTAGGTACACTTCCGCTTGCATACCGGTGAAAAGCCCCTCAAATGTTCAGAATGCAATAAATCCTTCCGCCGCCACTCGACGCTTTGCCAACACATGAAGAAGCATCGCGGCATTCGCAATCACGTCTGCAATGTTTGCTTCAAAGGGTTCTACGAGGTTTCCAAGCTTAACGCCCATATGAGAGTCCATACAGGTGAGTTTACACACTACTACTTTTTTTTTATATACGTGACAGGCAGATGACTCCATTCCAGCTGACGTACAGTGGAAAGTGGAATCCAAATGTGAAGGAACCTAGTGCAATGTTGATACAATCACTGCCCTAGCCACTTACAAGATGTGTCTTCACGCCTTGTTTGAAGGACCCCATATCGTAAGATCGTATGTACATTTGCGCCTACTCACATTGTATCTTCCCTTGTGGTGTATAATGCATATGCACTTTTGTATGTATTACTATCAATGCAGATTCCAGGTAAGTCCCTACCACAGAACAATAAATACAATGAAAGTGGTTAGTTAGCGTCAGCCGCGTGTCAACTATAGGTCTCGAAAGACCTATATGAGCTCAGTCCGCCATTTCCGCTTTGTATGGTATGGTTGTGTAATTCTTTCGTGCAAATTCTCTAAAATCTAAGAAAAATACCTTATTGTGCTGTTTTGGAGTGCAAAAATGATAGCTGCACGAAAACTATTACCCGTGGTGGTATTTCGTACCATCGAAAAGTCTTGTTTTAATAAATTATCAGTTTTCTGTTTGTCGAATTGATTCAGATGTTAATCGTTCGTCGTAGACCAGCTACTGGTCGCAAGATGGCAGCCCGTTGAATAATTTCAATATAAAATCAAAACGTCGTAACTTGCAATAAAAGTTCATGGAAGTACTGCCACCTATTTCTGCCGCCAAGTAGTAATGTGAGCATTATTACTGTGTTGCGGTTTCAAAGGGTTAGAGGTGCTGGTGAAATTACAGACACATGGGACTTGTCAACTTATGTCTCAACACGATGGGTGCGGTGGCAGTGCCCCTTAGATCTCTGTGATTGAGCGGCATTGCAGCTGTTATAGACATGCGTGACGCTTACCACCAGACGCACAACTTACACGTCGCGTCTCTTTGGTATCATAAAAAAATGTATTATATTAACAATTTCCTTTAAACAAATCAGCCTTAATCCAGAACTTGACGAGTTTTAATTTTAATTTAAAAAAGTTTTAATACGATTTCAGGGGAACGTCCGTTCGAATGTACGTATTGCGATCGCAAGTTCGCCCAGCAATCGGCTCTGATTTACCATCGGCGCACCCATACAGGCGAGAAACCCTACTGCTGCAAGCTGTGTTCTGCTCGCTTCACCACCTCGTCTGCCCGGAATAATCACATGATCACTCATACAGGGAACAAGAAGTAAGTATTTTTATGATATAAAGTAGCAATAGAGCTCGTTGTGTAAGAGTTCGTCTAGTGAAGTACTGCCACCTTACCTGTTTCTGCCGCCAAGCTGTAATGTTAGCATTACTGCGTTCCGGTTTTGAAGGGTAAGGGTATTGGTGAAATTACAGGCACGTGGGAATTATCAACTTATGTCTCAGGGTGAGTGTGAGCGAGTATCTCTAAGTGGCACTGCAACTGGTTATAGATAGGCGTGTCGCTTAACACCAGGCGCACGACTTGTTCGTGCTGTCACTTAAAAAATAATAATTAAAATCTATATTAATATAAACGCCATTTTCCAAAAGTGGACTCTTTCGTCTAGTGACAGTATTGATTTCAACGAGCGATATTCTTATTCCGTAGATTCGTCTGCCCAGTCTGCTTCAAAGGCTGCACATCACGCACGGAACTTCGCGTTCACTCATCGAAGCATACAGGAGAGAAGCTGTTTGGCTGTGAAGTTTGCTCACAGCGGTTCAGCTCTGCTTCGTATCTCGCTGTGCATCGCAGACACCATACTGGGGAGAGGAAGTACAACTGCAATATTTGTGGGAAAGGTTAGTTCCATTATTCCTCCTATAAAGGGCAGTTTAGAAAAAATTGGAACAAAAACAAGAAAAACCAGCGATATCTATGTAGTAAAACTATAATTGTTTACGCTTAGTGTTGGGTCATGGAAAAATATCCATTTTGAAAAGAGCATATTTTTCAGAAAAGTAAATATTTTCCTGATATTTTTCCTTTAATTTTCCACATTTGACATTGACATCTGTCAAAGGTTGAAGTTACTGAACGAAAACGATGGTGCCAAAAGGTATTTTTTCGATGCCGGGGGGGAAATAATTTTAAATCTCGTGTTTTTTAAAAGTGGCTTTTGGCTATACAAGTTTATTTTATAATGTGCGCAAAATAAAATTTCAAAAAGATATTTCTAAACGTAGAACATAATATGAGCCTTTGAAATTATATTTTTCCAATTTTTCCGGTAAAATTTCCACTATTTGAAATTTTTCGGAAAATTATCTGACAATATTTATGCCAAAAGGGAAAATCTAATATTGTACCATATTTTTGTTGACTACATGGTTTATGTAATCATCAAAATTAAAACTATAATAATAATAACGCACACACTCAACATAGCCCCGCATTAGGGAAAACCCTGTGTCGCGGGTGCCATGGACACACACATAGACAACCACAAATTACACCCAAACTCACGAGAGAAATAAATGTAGGCCATACAAATATGTCTCCCGGCCCGGGAATCGAACCTGGGACCTCTGCGTCCGGCAGTCCGGCATGGTAACCGTTTGGCCACTGAGGCAGTTAAACTTTTTAAATTTTTAGATTAAACTCAAATTTAATAATCATGTTTATTGCATAGATAAGCAAGATAAGGGTGTTAATTATTTCACGTCAAAACGACCAGTTAACTTGAGCTTTGCTATAATGGACGAAAATTGCCAAATTACATATTTAATATTTAATTTACCGATGAAATGTGATTCCGTTTGTTTTGTAATTAGATGTTTTGCTGTTTTTCCCACACCACCGAATAGAACAGCACGGCATAGTTAGAGATATTATCTTTATTACAATAAATATGGAAAATTTTTTGGAATATACGGAGACGTACACACAGGCCAGTAGTTGGCCTGTATATATTTCAGTGCAAACGGCAGTTGATATTTATAAAAGCTGTATCGCTAATGTGTTACCAGGAATATATGGCTCTTATTTCGTCTCTGTTTCTGGTTATATACTCGAGGCCTACGACTTACTCTTTATTTCGACAGGCTATATAGAGTCAAGTTCATATAAGAAGCATCTGAAAACACACGAATCCAAGCCTGAAAACGAGTCATCTAATGAAAACACAAGTGAGACACAAAGCAGTGGGAACGGTAACGACGCCAAGCAAGACACCGACGCGCTGGAAAACAAGACCAATGATAATGAAGACAACCAGGTAATGACTGAGTCGAGTTACTTTTTAGAATGGAATGGAAACCATTTATTATAATGCCATAACGCAAAAATACACAAAAAAAACAAAGCAAAATTTAAAAAAAAAACAACGAAGGAAACAAATGAAACACATCAAATTTTCAAGAATCAACACAATTTAAACGTCATATATGTGATCCACTCAGCTATGAGCTGTTCAAGTTCAAGCTCAGACATTTGCCGCCGCAGAGAGAAGGTTGTGATGCTGGTTTTCAGTTTTCAGTACTTTATGTAAAATCTAGGTTTGGATTCTCTTGTCGACATTGGTTAGGAATTGTTTAAGGAGTTGTGAATTGTAAATTTCTGTTTCAATTTTATTTAAACCAGTAGCAGTAGAGCCATTTATGTAAATAGCTCTACTGCTACTATGAGAGTACTATGTAGAAGTAGTAGAGCTCCTTGTGAAAGTTTTCTTTTATTAGTACCTTCTTCCACTCCCCCGATATTTATTATTCCGGGGCCTTGAATGTCGTCTTTTTAATTAATAACGAATTATAAATACTTTAATTTCATTTATATTTATTAATTTTATTTATATATTATATATATATTATATATATATATATATATATATATTTTTTTTTTGTCTCTTTATTTTATATTAATAATCAAACGGTGTCAAAATTTCTTGTGAAAGAGTTCGTCCAGGGAACTATTGCCACTTTACCTATTCTGCCGCCAAGCAGTAACGTGAACATTACTGCGTTTCGGTTTTGGAAGGATAAGGGTGCTGGTGAAATTACAGCGGACTTGTCAGTTTACGTCTTATTGAAATGCAATACAGTACATAAATTCTTTAGTTTATGGTATTTTTTTTAATTACAGGTTCAAATACAAATTTATACTCAAAGTCAAATGGCCCAAAGTCAAAATCAAAGTCAAGGTCAGAATCAGGAGAATGTGACCACGACCCCGCAGCAGAGAAGGTATAAGTGCGGGGTCTGTGTCAAGACTTACATGTACTTGCACAGCTTGAAGAAACATATGATGACCCATGTTCAGGTATACCTCTAAATTGATCACCAATAAACCAAAAATTTCTACTGTTGATATTTTTGTGGAGAGAAAAGTATTTTTCTTTATAATACAAATGCATGCTTTTTTAGACAGAAGTTCATTTTAGTCAATTCATTGAACAGTTCATGTATGAACTGATAGCTCCTCTCGTGCTGAACAACGATGATCAATTATCATTGTATTGTCCGTCTATTTGTTTGTCCTTTGATTTAATTTAAGAAAACATACATTTTAAAGCAAAGAAGTGTATTAAATAAATAAATTGAATCTTAATCTACTTTTTTCTCCCAACTGCAGCAACAACAACAGCAACAGCAACAGCAACAACAGCAACAACAACAACAGCCTCAACAACAACAAGTGCAAGTGCAGCAACTGCAGCAGCAGCAAGTGCAGGTGCAACAACTGCAGCAGCAGCAGGTACAGCAGCAGGCCGTGCTGCAGGTCGGCAGCGTGCAGCAGCTAGCCGTGCCGATACATCAACATGTTCAACAGGGAATTGTTCAGGTACGATAATAAACTAACGACCATGATACACGTCAAAAGGATACAAACGAGAACAGACAATAAAGAGAATGGAAGAGAACTTGTGGAGACTAACAAGATACATTTGAATTAATATTGCGGAATTTCTAAGTTATTCGAATAACAACACGAATATTTATTTTATTGAATATCATGTTTTTTTACTGTCAAGATATTAGTTGGATTTTTTATTAATCTATGGCTTGATTTGAAAACACCCGCTTCATCGTCTGAGGCCCGCCTACAGAGTAAAACTTGCGTGCGCCGCCATGGTCGCCACGGTACGACTACGTGGCGCCACTGTCTTCAATCAATCTCGAAAAGACGCGCGTACGCAAAGGTGAAAAATTTACAAAAAATTAGAAAAAACTGTCAAGTTTTCTCAAACAAGAGGCCTCAAATCTGTATTGTGTGTGCCATTCCATAAACCATGGTTTCCTACGTCCCGGGACATACTCTGGACTTGAAATATACTAGTGTCTGTTTTTCAACAGTATCAAGCCATACTTTTCTATTTAAATAATTCAAAATTAGCTATCGGCTCACATAGTATTCATGTATTTTTTGTGATTCCACTAGTTTATTATATTTGTGCTACGACAAAAAAGTCGTTAAGACAAAAAAAAACAAAGATCTGCAACAAGCACATAGAGAAACTAGTAAGGTCTGCTGACTTGGTCCGTAGCTCAGTTAGGAGAGCAATAGCCCCGACATGGCAAGGTCATTGGTTCGAATCCAGCCCGATTGAAGGAATTTGTCTTTGTGCTTGTTCGACCTTTGTATCAATAATAATAAAAATACGAATGTTAATATTAGGTTGGGGAAAAAGTATTTTCGTATTTTAAATAGAAATTCAATACATTTTTTATTAATTTACATTTTAAATTATTTATTTACATTTAGTTATAATATATATGTGCCATTTTGTTCGACAACTTGTCGCCATTTTGTAGGTAGTGACATTATCCCATTGCTGTAGAAATTTTCGGGTTTCTGGTCAAAAAACTGCGACAAGTAGTTTTGACAGTCCTCTCGTGATGTTAACTTAGTACTACCCAAAGAATTCTGAAGAGACCGAAACAGGTGGAAATCTGAGGGTGCAAGGTCAGGACTATATGGCGGATGCATTAACACTTCCCAACCAAGCTCTCTCAATTTTTGCTGAGTGGTTAAAGATTTGTGTGGTTTGGCGTTATCGTGATGAAAAAGCACACCCTTTCTGTTGATCAATTCCGGCCGTTTTTTCTGTATTTCTTGCTCGAGTCTCATAAGCTCTTGGCAGTAGAGATTGGAATCGATAGTTTTGCCTGGCGGTAAAAGCTCATAATGAACTATACCCTTCCAATCCCACCAGACACAAAGCATTACCTTATTGCGAGTTAATCCGGGTTTTGCTACGGTCTGTGGAGCTTGACCAACCTTTGACCATGATCTTTTTCGCACGTTCTTGTCATAGGTAATCCACTTTTCATCACCAGTGATCAATCTTTTTAGGAACGGCTCTATTTCATTACGCTTTAGTAGAGAATCGCAAATGTGTATTCGATTTATTAGGTTTCTTTCAGTCAGTTCGTGCGGTACCCAAACATCGAGCTTTTTTGTATACCCAGACTTTTTCAAATGGGCTAAAACCGTTTTATGGTCAACATTTAGCTCTTCAGCAAGGTTGTAACTACTAATATGTCGATCTTGCTCCACTTTTTCAAAAATGGCATCAACTTTATCCGTGACAGGGCGGCCAGAACGAGCTTCATCTTTGACATCAAAGTTCCCGGACTGAAAACGCTTGAACCAATTTTGTGCTACTCTTACTGACACTGCGTTAAGTCTATAAACGTCACAAATTTTTTTCGCGGCTTGTGTCGCATTTTTCCCTTTCATGAAATAAAACTTCAGAATGTATCGAATTTCTTCTTTAAATTCACTCATCATGGCAGGCAGAAAAACAAAAGAAAAATGGCGGGAATCGGGTTTTATTTTTTTAATTTTATTTTTTAAAATGTAACTAATCCTTGTGATGGTATCAAAAACAGCCAGATACATACTGTGCAGCCAAAGAGATTTTAATACAACTTTACACCAATGAAATACGAAAGAACTTTTTCCCCAACCTATTATCACCATTTCGGGGTTCTTTAGTAACGTTTCAACCTTTACAATGTGCTGGTGAGGATCGTTACTGCAGATAAATAATCAAACTGTTACGTGACAATGGATGTTGTAGCTATAAAGTACCATGGTCATTTTCAATAAATAGTTACTTGACATTTAAACCGATATATTAACATTGTCTAGTATTGGCTCATGGAAAAATTTCCATTTTGAAAAAATCATTTTATTTTTCCCGATATTTTTCCAAATTTGACGTTGACACCTGTCAAAAGTTGAAGTTACCGAACGAAAACGATGGAGCTATTAAAAAGGTTTTGTTTTCGCTGTTGTGAAAACATTAATTTAAACCTCGTCTCTAAGTGAGTTTTAGCTGTACAAGTTTATTTTATAATTCACGCTACATAAGACTTCAATAGATATTTCTAAACATAGAACCTAATATGAGCCTTTTCGAAATTTCTCCAATTTTTCCAGAAAAATGTCCACTAATATTTGAATTTTTTCAGAAAATTACCCAACTTTAATTGTATATCAGTTAATCGGATGACATTTCGTCTAACTTCACCTTTTTTTGGCGGACTTGTTGGCTAAGATCTTTATAAATTAATCGCGCCCTTAAATGTAGACAGTCATGTAGGTGAATTCTGGCAACGTCGCCTTGGGAAGTGTATGAAAAATTTAAAAACAGAAGTTTTGGAACTTCGTAGATGATGGCATCTACAGTTATTGGAAATGTTTATGGTTTACAGGGCGGACAACATTCCTACCCTGTAATATCGTCAGTGCAATCGTTGCAATTGCAGCAAACCCAGCAGCAGGTTAACACGGTAACTAGTTGCCCCCCACCCCTTCATCAAAAATTTTTACGTACCTGCAATCTGTTTCGTACTTTTTTTATATAACTTTTTTATTAAAAAACCGACTTTAAAAGTTAATTGTGTGAAAAGTGGAATTACATCTATTTGCCAAGTTTGATTGAAATCGTTTAACGGAAAGCAGATGAAATCCTATAAACAGGATTCATCCCCTAATTCGTCACCCTCTAAGGGTGGAATGTTTTCTTCAAATTTGAATGGGGCCACCACCAACTGAGAATCATCGCAATTAGTTCAGAAACACACACAAAAATTCGATCGAATTGAGAACCTCTTCCTTTTCTGAAGTTGGTTAAAATTAAAATTCGTGTTTCATGAGAAATATTACTTGAAAACATAAAATATTTTATTAAATAAAAGATTTTGGAGATTATTTGGTACAATAGGATTGATGCATTCTTATTGACTGCTCTTTTGGTCAACCATAGCGAGATGGAGTTAAAATCGAGTAATTGTTGCTTATACAGGGTGTCTCATAAAACACATAGTAGTATATAGTACCTAATATATAAAATATTAATACTTTGTTCGATTTCATTACTAATCTTGAACAAAGGAGTTTTACCAGTTATGTTAATGTCTTAAACTAAAACCTCCAGCGCGCTTTAAATTGTTTAAAGAACGCTTCAGTCTAATTGTATTGTACGTAAAGATTTTTGACCCCTTCATGGGAGGTACTCGAGTATAAATGGGATCTCTATTACCCAATTAAAATCGCTGAGTTCTCTCTTGAATCTACTTAAATAAAAACGATAATTGTTTAATTATTATAATTTTATTTGCAGCAACAACCCCAGCAGCTGCAGGTACAGACAATACAAATTCATCCACATCATCAGCCTATACAAATCCATGTAAGTTATTCTTGCTTTTATTTATTGTTTTGCTTATGTTTCATTTTTACAATATGCTAATTACATAGGCCACAAAGTAATTGAAATTCAAAGTAATTTAATAAATGAAGGAAATTACAAATTAAATTAATTAATTAAAAATGAGGTCTTGGTCCGCAAGTTGCCTTCAGGGCTGGCACACAATATGCTGAGTTAAGAAAGCAACAAAATAAACATTTGTCGATTGCACCAACGCATGACGTCACAACAACAAAAATTGTTAAGAAATGAAGACATTCGCATTTACACGATATAACACATTCATAATTAAAGAACCATTAATAAAAACAACTAAAACGTAAAAATAAATAAGATACAGAACACTGATGGTGTGAAATAAAAATTATTTTATTTTTTTTTTGCAATAGACGGCTTTATTGTTAAGTAACAATCTCTTTAAGGCAACTCTAGGGTATAGAATAGAGTATGGTTACATTTTTGTAAAATATACACACATATATTACTCATTTGTACTACATATACACACATATGTACAGTATATATTCACATTTGTGAAGTGTAAAAAATTTACCTATGGAATAAATGATTATTTTACTTTGACATTTTGGTTCAAAAATATACATCTATTTTCTACATAAAGTACATAATCATTCATTTTTAGTACATAATAAACATTTTTATGTAATGTTCTTCTCACTTCAGGCGGTGGGTGTGCAGCAAGTACAGCAACAGCAGCTCCACGTAGCCACTTCCAGTTGTCAGACCATGTTGCCGAACATTTTGCAGGTAAGTTGTTATTCTTGAGTAACGGTTTATAACAATCAAAATATCGATTTTATAGCTCTCGTATCTCTTAATTTTTCGTCAGTGTTCTAACTGGTAGGTAGGTACGAGGGCCGGCTGAAAAGTAATCTCTTATGACTATTACCAATTCAAAATTAGTACTGGCCATTATCGTGACTCATTCCTTGTTTATTCTTTTTTCAAAATTAGTGACACTCTTTTGTTTATTACGCTTCGCTTTGCACGAACAAAATGGCGGAAGAAAAAAGCAAAATGTTTAAAAATGGCAACAATTTTTTTTAATCCTTTCTAATTTTTAATTTACATTTCTTATGTATTTTCATAATGAAGAAAAAATATCCATGGTCGTCTTTTATTTCATACATAACGCTAGTAAGAAAGAAAAAAGAAAGAAAGAAAGAAAATTTTATTCGGCTATTCATATTAGAACATATTGACTAACACAGGATCTGTTAAAAAAAAAGATTAAAAACTAAAGTACACAATATTAGCCGAAAAGGTTAGCCAGTTCAGCTTTAAGCTGGGCAGAGCTTCAGCGCTGGTTTTTAGCTGGAGCCTAAGTTTATGGACGAACAAGTCGTGCGCCTGATGGTAAGCTACACGCCTGTCCATAACAATTACAGTGCCACTCAGAGCTTTAAATCGCAAAGATCTGAGAGGCACTGCCGCCGCGCCCGTCACCCAGAGACATAAGTTGACAAGTCCCATGTGCCTGTAATTTCACCAGCTTATATACCCTTCAAAACCGGAACACAGTAAAGCTGACATTACTGCTTGGCCGCAGAAATAGGTAAGGCAGTACTTCCCTGGATGAGCTCTTTCACAAGGAGCTCAACTGCTACTAAATATTATTATTGTCACGTTTTTAATACAACCATTTGTTGTTTATAGCTTCAACCGGCTACAGTGGCAGTGCCTACTTTGAGCCAGCAAGACTTGGGAGGAGTGGCGCATCGTATTATACTACAGCCGCAGACCGCCGGCGGGCACCCAGCTGTTTATACTATACATCATTCGTAAAAGGACAAGAAGGAGACGAGGGGCTACATTGCCAGAGCTTCAGGGGGTCTATTATGACTTTATACGGAACCAGTCAGATTCCATGCAATTCAGTTTACATGATAGAATTGTTTAAATTTGTATCATGGCTTAAGTATATAAAGTTTAACAACTATTGATGTGTCATGCTATATAGCCACGCCCCTTTCTTTACCGTAGTACCATTAGACAGTTCCGTTGATGGTACAGAGGCATTTTTGTTATGCCGTCGTTCCATTATGTTGATAGTTTCATGGCAAATGTTGTTTTATGCTATTCGTAGTACCTACAGTAAGGAATTAAATGATAGAGACCAGAAACAAAAGTCTCTTAGCAACCACCAACCAGTGTGCTTACACGAGTCCGTTTCTTATAAACCAGTGTGCTCAATGAATTGTAAGTCAATGGCTCAATGGCCAATTTTACATTTAAAAAAAAATGCGGTAAATAAATAACTGCCAGTAATAAATATACGAGAGAGGTATTGAAAATGTATATCGTCTGCTTAAAGGTAAAACCACATAAGTGAAATTTTCCACAAAAAATCTCCAAATGTACCAGTTGTAAAAAATCACCATCTTTCTGCAGATTGAGATGAAAACTCTTATTAAGTTTATAGCTTTTTTGTTATTGAGTTTCACGTGCAGAAAGATAGTGATTTTCTTACCATAGCTATATAAATTAAAGACTTGTGGAAAATGTCACTTATGTGGTTTTAGCTTTAAACAGACGATATATTAATGTATGGTACAGCTAGAACGACAGTCATCAGTCATGTGACGACAGATAATTGCAGCTTCCAACGATTCTGTCGTGCAAACGACAAGGCGGCTGCCGTGAACCGATAAATTGTCGTCACGATCTTGTGGGAACAGCTAGATACGACAGTCGTAGAACGATAAAATAAACGTCTACTACACAGTCACAACAGATAGTCGTGACATAAGAACAGGCTAGACACGACAGTCGTTTAACGATAAAATAAACGTTCACTACACAGTCACGACAGATAGTCGTGATATAAGAACTGGCTAGAGACGACAGTCGTCCAACGATAAATAAAACATTACGACATAATGGGAACGCGCTCTAAGAGTTCATAGTAAGCCCCCTGGTATTAACAGTTATTTAAAGTCATCGTAACCATTCGAGTCTTTCGGAAAACAGGCGAATATTATTAAGAATCTCTTTAATCAAGTCGAGTCAAGGGCACGTTAAGTTTGATACTTTAGATTTAAATTCAACTCAATGCCGCTAACGATAAAGTGTTAAGCTTTATGCGCTCTTGACTGTTGATTGGTATGGCTTTACGTCAAAGCCGTTAAAAAGTTCTTGACTGTTCCTGTCTTAAAAAAAATTATAATTCAAACAAAGAATGTCACTGCGTAGCGTTAACTGAATATAATAAACCTTACATCTGAATAGGTAAGGTAGATTTTTAATAGTAGTAGTGAACTGATTTGAGAGAAAATCATGTCAAGTATTACTTCAGAAGGACATTTAAGCAATTTCTACTTCCAGTGATCCAATAGGTGCCCAAAGTTTTTGGCTCACCGCCTCCTTAAGAAAGACAAAAAAAACACGTATTTTTTATACTAACATAACACAAAAAATCACAAGGAAAAATAAATATATTGTTGTAGTTTTTATAGATAACTCAGATTTTGTTTTCAAATGCGGTAGCACCCTCTGGACAGCATCAATGTGCCTCAGTTACTTCCGAAGTCCCTACCGGCCCCGCTAGGACTCTTCAGCGCCCACTGGGTAGGGACCACTTTGGGAAACTATGCTGTAAACAGTAATAGTTAGCGTGGACTAAAAACAGCACTACATACAAATTCTCGCTGAAGTCAATTGTGTGCACATTAGCTGTAATATTCCTTACGGTGCGTACAAATCTGGCGAAAAGTTCGCGAGTTATGCACGTATACATATTACGTAGTGCGATCTATTCGCGTGCCGGTCACGTGCATTATGAGATGTCATTACCGATGCGCACTTATTGCACTCGTGCAGCGCATTCGCCCGGTCTGTACATCACCATTATGGCTATTAATAAAAATGAGTACATGACACGGCAAGCTTCACTGAATAATCGGAAGTCCAGTGTCTAGCTTGACTCTACATATTACTTCCTGAAAGATGCATTCTGTTATTATGTTGTGATTGATATAATAGTGAACTGACTTGAAGAGAAAAAATAATAGACAGGTAAAGTGAAATATCATCCATAAATATTCTCCAGTTTGTTTTCGCTTACAGGCGCTTTTGGGCTAATTTAAGGGTCGTATTCCAGAACTCTACTCAATACTCATTGAGTAGAGTTCTGGATTGCAGTGAGCACTGAAAATCATACTCAAGTCTTTGCCATTAGGGTCGTATTTCCAGTGCTTGGAATCATACTCAAGTCTGCTCAAATCCTGACTTGAGCATTGAGTTGAGTTCTGGAATACGAACCTAAGAGTATATTACTCTTGTGCGTTACTACGTATGTAGTGGGTAGGATGGTCGTCAATGAACCACTTAAATTTTCAGAAGCTGTAACTCTGGATCTCTGGGGCTAAATTATATACTTTTTACTTAAAATTATAGATAATTTTACTGGGCATGATAAAGTAGTACTTCATTTTTATCCAAATACAGTCAGTCCTTCTGAAAACATTTTTTTTTTATTTAAATGGTTCACTGTGCACACCCCATGTACTCATTGAACCAGGGACTGGTACAAAATGAACCAAAGGTGCACACAATGGACATGATTATTGCAATCATCAGCAAAATGTTGTAGTTTTGTGAAATACAACGCGGTTTTTGTTTAAATTATTGAAAACAATAAGTTTTTGGGCATCCAACAGAAACCAAGCTTCTAAAAACATAATCATGAAATATAAAGAAAAAAAAACAACCAAGTGTCACAACTTCAAAATAGAAGGTTTGTAATTCAGTCGTGAACGTACTTTGTGTGTAAAAATTTAGATCGCTTGTACGGAATTGTTTTAAATTAACTAGCAGTCAACATTTCCATGTTTAATTTATTACTAAATTATCATAGGTTCATTATGTACACCTTTAAAGTGGTTCATTCTTTACCAACCCCACACTTGTAAAAATTTGAGATTATGTAGCTACGTGCCTAAAAACCCGTCGCTTATTTTAACTACTTCTATAAAAAGCGCATTAATGGCTAATCTATTAATATACAGCTACTGCTTGTATAAACAAGTAAAACGAAACGAAATTCTTCTCGCCGTGTTTTTTTTTGGTAAATAAATAAAAAACATCGACGCCACGGGCATCTGTGCCACTAGCTCGCTGTCGACTGGGAAGAGAGAGGTGCCTATAGTAGGAGCTCATTTAGTGCGATTTGCACCTAATTCCAATACCGCGTTTCGGAGTTATCGGCGCGGTTCATAGTGTACACCTGGTTCACTGTCGACCTTCCTACCCTACTAATCTTATGTGCGTATAAGAGAGACGAACTAATAATATAACAAACGTGCTTCTGTCACAACTAAGAAAAAAAGCTAAGAAATATATTTACTTATATAGTATTGCAGGCACGTTAACATAACATTGTAATAGAATGAATACATTAAACACTTTTAACTTAAGTATAAGTTGTACATTTTTGTTTATATTAACACAGTAAATTAATATTTGTGTTCACGGTAGCCATATTGTTTTTTGCTGTTTAATTGAACATTTTGCCATTAAAGAAATTAAAAAATGTTAGGTTTTTGTTTTACTTACCTACGTACGCACACAACTACCCTTTGTGTAAACATTTTCAGTGTACGCTGACATGAGGCTGTTAGACAAAACCTCTTTCAATGGTACCTATAGCCAATATAAAAGATTACATAACTTTTAGCTTAGAATAATAACGCATAGAAACCTAGTCCGTACACGCTAAGTGAGGCAAATTGAAGCGCTCCAAAAGGGCCTACACGAGCGGGCGGGCCTTCAGTGCTCAAGGTCGACTTGTACCGCGAACAGCTCAAGAATTTCAGCTGAAAATGACGAAATGTGCGGTAAATGAGTGTAAAAATACGTCAGACAAACATAAAATAGATACTAACTCACATTCTACAAGGAAGTAACGTGTTTCAACTTGTATTTTTATATAAGTATTCACTAAAACCGAAAATTAACCTACTACTAAAACTAGCCTACATGAATTTGATTTTTGTCTCACTTGTGACAATCTGTTTGATATGAAACTATCATTCTATGCGTTATTATTCTTAGACTTTTAGTTACAGTATGTAAGCTATAAGCTAAGTTTAAAGAAAAAGGGTTGGTATTTTTTCCAAACATTTTTTGCAAAATCAAAGGCATAAGCGATACCACAAAGAATAAACGGGAAGTGGCTTTCCCTAGCCCCAAATTCTGAAATGTGTGTATGGACTGAGGGACAACATGATTTTTGCCAGTTGTAATAAATACGCCATTCTACTACGAAGGGATGACTCATCCTATAATTTTGGGACCAGAACAAACAAATTCATGACTTTTTCTGAGTGATTTCAGATAAATTGTATTAGTCAATGATGCCACCGAACTAATGTTACTCCAGCCATAGAACATCCTCGTAACCTTAAAATGGCGTATCGACTGAACATTTTTTTCATGATACCAGACGGGATGAACAATTAGTGCGTCTGGTGGTAAGCGACACGCCTGCCCATAACAGTTACAGTGCCACTCCGAGCACCACTTAAAATCGCAAAGATTTGAGGGGCATTGCTACTGCCCGTCACCCTGAGACATAAGTTGACAAGTCCCTTCAAAAACGGAACACAATAATGTTCAAATTCAAATTCAAAATAATCTTTATTATAGGTAAACATTATTACATTTGAAATCGTCACAATGGTTAAACTCTACCGCTCATTCGTAAGGCAGATTCGCCCGAGAAGAATGAGCAAGAAACTCTAGGGGTTGCTCTTTGTTAATAACATTTGTACACATTCAACATTTACATTTTTTTTTTTATTTGAAACATCGGAGATCGAGACTACCTCCATGAGCTAAACGGGTTACTACCACGGATTTTTGTCATCCAAGTACGCAGGAGTTGTATAATAACCTTTAGTATAAAGTTTTTGTTTCACTATAGTTTTAAACCTCGAGAAAGGCAAATTTTGTATATCAACCGGAATCTTGTTCTAGAATATACATTGCCCCTTAAATGATTTTTTGACTTTGTGAAGACGACTATCAAGAAAAGCTAGTTTATTTTTATTCCTCGTATTAATGTTGTCTGTCACTATTTTTCATAAACAAATTACTATTCCTTTTAACATAAATTACATTTTCATAAATGTACTGTGAGGCTAGTGTAAGAATGTTAATTTCCTTAAACTTATCTCTCAAAGATACTTT